TGATGGAGATTTAATGCATGTAAAAGCTTTCCTCTTTACAACTATAGCTGTGGTAAATGGATGTTATGTCAAAGTCATCAGAGGGGAAATAGAGAGAATAAACTCAAGGAGGGGCTATCACTATTCCGTACAAAACTTCTCCTGCTGATGAAAGCAGTGACCAAGGTATATGACCTCTCTGACGGAAACTACGAACATGCAGCTCATTGCAATCAAATCATATTTCACTTTTCAATGAACCTAAGAGGGAATAAAGAGACCACAATGTAACTTTCTGTGAACTTTTGGACTTCCTGAATTTCTTTTCCAAGCCGGCTTATATAATATAAACATGTATGTCTACGAAGTTTGAATAGCCAAATGAAGTTGTTGATTTATTATTTTTATATATTTTATTAAATATTTTTTGTGTTCATATGTGGAAGATAAAAATTTGAATCAATTCGTCACTGTTTTACCGAAGCCAGTCAAAACTGTTCAGAAAGATTCTTTTTCCCCCTCAGAAGAAAGAGTATTTCAAAGTTTACAAAGAATCAACAAGTTAACGATCTGTACAATGTGTATTGCAAGGGAACACTGAGACAGAATCCACCAGGCAACAATTTATTTTGATGCAACTTAGTGTTTGATGCCAGATAACATGCAGGAAAAACAGCAGCTGTTAACTTCAACATGGTGAAAATGTTTATCTAATATCTTAATCAATATACTTCTGGCATCTTTTTAACCTAATCAACATCATTTCCTTTCTTGAGTCTGGCTATAAATCAGTGCATTAGCCCTTTTCCTTGAATTTTTTTTAAAAATCTTTAAAGGATATTTTGAAACATTTGAGAAAGTAGCAGTTTGATGGAATGAAGAGATTGTTTGAATAGCTTGATTGGGATAGGAAAGGGTGATAAATGAATGGAATGATGAGAAAGTAGCCAGATAGAAAGATAATGCTTGTGATAGAAAGATAAAGGGAGGGATATGGGGAGATAATAGAGGATTTCCTACAGTGTGGGAGCCAGTCAGTTGTGCATCAAGGCAGATAATGAGTCAAAGGGAGATAATCCAGTTAGAATTATCTTTATACAAAATATAAAAAAAAAAGAATTTAAAGTTATACTGAACTTTTTATGAAATGAAAAAGATCAGGACTGTTTTAAAATATAAAAGATGAAAAACACGATAGTTCTTGGAAAAATCAAAACCAAAACAAATATGAGATGAGTAAGCATCCCTCCAATTTTGTGAAGCACATCAAAATTTTATTCTCCCTCTCCTACATGTAGCTTAGTAAATATTTTCAAGATTTATTTTTATTTACTAAACCTGTACTGGTATTTCAATTGTTTATTTATTTGTTTATTTATTTTTTTTTTTTTGGGGGGGGGGGGGGGTCAGCTGACTTCCAATTCCTTTTTCAATGGTCAGCTGACTTTTATAAGAAACAGATATACACCAGGGAAATTCCTTTATTTGTTTATTTCATCCTGGTATAAATAGAAGAACAGTATAAATCTCTGTTATTACTGCTTTGACTCTGAATCCAGTCAATTCTTTGATATTCAGTAAATCATAAAATTGGGAGACCTGGTCTCAATAACATCACTTGACCAGAAAACAAATACCAGAACCTATCACCCACATAAAAAAAACAGAGCCCTTGACCAGCGCTACTTATCAAAACCTACATATCAACAAATATGATAAACAATAATAAACAGTTTTCATACTGACACAAGCTGCAGGGGTCATAATGATTCACAGAACTTCTTTATCAGTCTGCCCTAAACTCAGTGTCTGAAATCATAAGAATACAAATAGGTTGAAATCTCACACAGTTTCCAGGAGGAGTGTCTTGAGGTTCATCTTATAACCCTAAATTGTAGGGATATGGGTGTCAGGAGTGTACTGTTTACTAGTCCCTACATTAAATTCTCTCCTCAGTTTTTATTTTTCTCATACAGATGCTGTTTTAAGCTGATTCATTATTCCCCAATGCAGGTTCCCTTTTCCAAACTTCTTTCAGCTCAGTATTCCACTTTACAGCATAATCATTAATTCAAATTTTTCTATTAATACTCTGTTTACAATGCTCATTCCAAAAATATGAAAGACATTGACAAAAGGAAAGCATGCAATCATAATCCTATCAGGCTCATTGAAAATCATCGACAGCAGTTGACTTTACAATCGTTTTGGATTTTCCTATTAGGGATTAGTGATGTCACTTCAATATCTGATGTGTAGAACAAAAGGACAATGATTCATTTGATAAGTAGATTGATTCTAGCCATTATTCTTCCATTAGTGTTGTAAACAAATGTGTTTTAGGTCTGATTAAATGTCAAATGAATCTTTGACAGCTTTTGTTAAACCTTAAACGCAATCACTTTTGATCACAATTCCAAAATAGTTTTTAAGTCTTTTTTTTCTCTAATTTCCTGTAGATTTTTAATCTAATCTTGCACCTTTTGACATCAAATTTTCAGAAATTAAAGAAAGCATTCATTTTCAAAAATTTTCAAATATTGATATTTAAAATCATAAATTAAGAAAAATGTAAATTAAAAATTTTTCCTTTGATTTGTAATTTACCTGGTATTCATCACTTAATTTTTTTCATCCTTGATTTTGGTTAATTTCAAGAAATTAAAAAACACCTTTCCTTTGGTTTTTTAAATGTAATTTTTTAATATTTAATTAATTTAATATTATTCCCTAGTTCATGAAATGCTTCTTGTCTTTTTTATTTTATTTTGTAATGATTTCATAAAACTAAAGCTTAAACAAGCAATTGCTATCTGTACTTAAAATTAAACCTCAAAAACAGCTATAAAAGTCGCCATTTATTATTACTGACAAGGTTTTTCTTGACATGTTTCAAAAACATGTCTGTGACCCACAGGACACAATATAGGTAGCACACCCATTCAAGTTTGCAGACCTTCTACCACCGGATTAGATTAACATGGAGGAAATTAATCTTGTGAGGAAAAGCTTCGTCAACAGACAGGGAAAATAAAACAATTAACAACTTTTTAATTACCTTTGTAATTAATGTCATGTTCTTCATTTTTACGTCTTTACTACAATGGGGGATTTTTTTAACTGTCTGCAATAAGTGCATGAAAATTAATTTTAAATATTTCTATCATGAAAGAAAAAGCTTATGTAATAGTACTTTTGCTAGCAATAACACAAAAATTGCTTTAAATTTGTTTCCTAAATCTTTTAATGATTTCAAAGAAACTTATTCATTTTAGCAATTCTTTTTTTTTTTTATTTGTGTCATCTTGAATTTTACTTCCTGATAAATGTCATTCAATGTAAATTGCAGCACAGACATAGATGAGGTCATTGTAGTGAACTCTATAAATGTAACCATTATTCAGAAAGATTGATATGGAAAAGATTAATCAACACTTAATTTTTCAAACAATAAATTTTACATGTACTAAAACTTTCAAAAAGAGAGTAAGAGATTTAATGATAAGTTAGGAGATACATCACTGCTCTTTCAGAAAATTTCTGATGATGGGATCAGCATGGAGGTATTGTAACTGAAGAATACTCAATATTTAACTCAATATTTTATACTAATGAAATATTAAACCAGCAAATTTTATTTGTAAATTTTAACCTTATTTATACAAAGATTATTTTTCAATTCAAAATTATAGTTCAAATTTCATAAAGAAGTCTTTTCTATTTTTGCTTTTGTATCATTATATAGTCAGTTTTTGTCAATAAGATTTTAGCAAACACTACAGTATTTGGAAATGATAACTTTCATGCAACAAAGCCTACAGCACAAAATACAAAGGACCACTAGCTAAGGTTGAAACAAAATATCATCATTAGTTTCTCAGGCACCTCCTGATTTTTCAAATGACAGCCACATTTAAAATTTATAACATTTAATTTCTACAGAATTTTCAAGTCTTACAGATTCTGGTTTTCTTAAATCAAATGTCCAACTGAATGCAAGAAGGCTACTCCCTCTGTGCCTTAGTCTCTGTATTTTGGTGAACTGATAAGCATTAATCAAGAGACATTGTCGTATTATCAACACAAATTGTATGTGGACCCCTCTTTGTAAGTGGATATCTATGATATCATGTTCAACCACAAAGTCCAATTTATTCAGATACCAAATTGTCAGCCAAAGAATCAGACAAACTGCGATTTTTTTTCACTTTAAACCATTATGCATGCATAATCTCTGCAATACTATACAGTTTGTTTTTTTTTGTGTAAGTATTTCTTTATATGGTATGCAAACTGAGATGACCCAATCATCAATGACATGAAATATTTGAAAACTGTCAAAATAATATTAGGTACAGGAAGATGAAACAAAAACTGCTGATCTTGATTGGTGCATGAGTACATACCAGTACACTGAATGCAATGTTTTAAAAATATGAATGTTTCCATAAGTTAAACATTTTAAAAACGTTATCTTGACAATACTTATTCAAAAATTCCCCACATGTGAATTGAGAGTGTCTTTATCAAATCAGAGGGTTACAATCATTCTAAATCAAAATATATCATGAGCTCATCAGATACAGCTTGTGCAGTGATCCAGCTGCAGTCACTGGAGTTTTGTGTGTGGGCAACATTTATGATTCCACCAGTTTAATAACAAGTCTACTACAGGTAATTCTTCATTATTGAAGACTCGCAGAACCAAATGTTTTACAAAATGTTTCATGATAAGCTGAAAGCAATTGTACTGAAAAGTGCATTTTAGAAGTTTCATCATGCAAAAGCAGTCTTAACACAGATTTCACAAAGGAGACAAATCTAAACCCTGTTTAATTGTGGATATGACAGAGTTACATTCTCTTTACATATGTCTGGTCCCTGCTGTTTACAAGTACATGACATTTCTTTTCCTTACAGACAAAAGACAAACATGTTTTTTCCCTTTAGTTTTTGGTTCCTGATGTCTTAGATAAGTATCTCACAGCTACATATATCAGTAGAGAGTTAGAAAGACTCACGTGAATTTTTCCGTAGGTACCTCTACCTGTTGCTCCATGTTTTTCCTCCACACATCCAGTTCATCAAGTTCCATCTTGGACTCCAGGGCCGCCAAGGCCTGCTCAGGTTTTATCTGAAAGTGTATTTAGAAAGTTTAGAACAACTCACAGGTTATTAGAGAATGGGCACGGTGTGCAGGGGGGATAAGAACTACAGAACAACTCACAGGTTACTAAGAATGGGCACACTGTACAGGGGAATAAAAACTACAGAACAACTCACAGGTTACTAGAGAATGGGCACACTGTAAAGTGGGATAAAAACTACAGAACAACTCCCAGGTCACTAAGAATGGGCACACTGTACAGGGGAATAAAAACTACAGAACAAATCACCTGTAACTAGAGAATGGGCACACCGTAAAGGGGGGGAAAAACTACAGAACAACTCCCAGGTTACTAAGAATGAGCACACTGTAAAGGGGGATAAAAACTACAGAACAACTCCCAGGTTACTAAGAATCGGCATACTGTACAGGGGAATAAAAACTACAGAACAACTCCCAGGTTACTAAGAATGGGCACACTGTAAAGGGGGATAAAAACTGCAGAACAACTCCCAGGTTTCTAAAATTCAGCATACTGTGCAGGGGGATAAAAACTACAGAACAACTCACAGGTAACTAGAGAATGGGCACACTGTAAAGGGGGAAAAAAACTACAGAACAACTCCCAGGTTACTAAGAATGGGCACACTGTACAGGGGGATAAAAACTACAGAACAACTCCCAGGTTACCAAGAATGGGCACACTGTAAAGGGGGATAAAAACTACAGAACAACTCCCAGGTTACTAAGAATCGGCATACTGTACAGGGGGATAAAAACTACAGAACAACTCCCAGGTTACTAAGAATGGGCACACTGTACAGGGGAATAAAAACTACAGAACAACTCCCAGGTTACTAAGAATGGGCACACTGTACAGTGGGATAAAAACTACAGAACAACTCAAAGGTAACTACAGAATTGGCACGCTGTACAGAGGGATAAAAAAGTTAACATTAAAAGAAACAGTGATTGATTAATGTTAAACCTTCATTGTATACAGTTTAAATAAGAAAAAATATGTGAAATTATACATGTACTAATGTGAATATATAGTTATTTATCCAAAATAGTAATCCAAAGTAATAACTGTGAACATTTAGAGATGTTATAAAATAAAATGTCATTAACTTTCTTCTTATCTTGGCTTCACTAAGAGTTCAAGAAAGAAGGTCTTCCTAATGAGAATTTGTATGTACCTGAAAGAAGTAGTTAGCAGCAAGGCCTGGTCCAGCAATTCTCCTGGCTACAAAACTATCACTGATTGGGACACGCCCCCTGCTTCGGATCACGAGGAAATACATCATGGTGTCCCAGATACCGCGACCAGACCTCCGGGTTAGGGCAACTACAAGAGATATTATAATTAATCCAAGCACACTCAAAGAAATCAAATAATTGAAACAAAATATACCGATATTTTTATTGAAAAATTCACAACCTTCTGGAAATTTAATATACAACAAAAATAAAATCGACATTTTTTAGCCATTACATTATAAATATGATCATGACTAGATTTTTTTAAACACTTTTGAACAATATAACCATGACCTTTCCAAATGCCCTTGGCCGAGAGTTAAAACACTCTCTCAAGTCATAAACAACATTTGTGCAAAGAATGAGCCTCTGCAAAGCTATGAGTTTTACACTTTGGATTCCTGTAATCTTGACATTGTCCAAATGACTTTGGCCCAGGGTCATTATAATTTTTAGTGCTTGTACTCTTTCTCCATTGAAAATTTAAGCTGCAGATACAAAGCAGGAAGGACAGACAAACATAGCAGTTCCTACATACTCACATCCACAAACTTTGTTACAGGGGGTTTAATAAAGAAAGCATTCAAACATTCCATAACTTACACACAGCTACCCCTAAGGCAGCCAGTGGGCAGAATAAAGACCCTGTTAGAAGAGCAGCTACTGGCTGTACACAACCCATGATCAGGATCCTGTAGATGATGGCCTCACACAGTATGGAGAATCTGTTATTGTCAGCTGAAAAGAGATGTCGTATACAGTGTTAACACTACAGATAACAGATTAACTTTCCACAAATCGGTAACTGTGTGGCCATCTTCGCTAGCCAAGGGTTTCTATCCGCTACTCTCCTCAGGAGAGTACTCAGAGTAGCGGATCAAAAACCCTTGACTAGCGAAGATGCTGTGTGGCTAATAATGAGTATATATTACACTTTATATTCCTACACATAACTGAGAATTTGATCTTTATCAAAATTTACCAGTACAAAATATGAATGATGTGACCATGTAATAAAGAAAAGAAAACTCATATGAGGTTTTACAAACCTGGACTATCAAAGTCAAAAATCAGTATTCCTATTAAGTGATAGAGCAATGTAGCCACTGGTACCCTATAAGAAAATAAAATAATCAAATGAAAAATTTTCAAAGCTTAGGAATTTAATATTATGTACCAAAGCACTGAATTTATCAAAAGTGATTTTAAATAAGAACCCTGTTGGCTATTATGGTGAGAGGTGGCATTTGTTTTGAATTTCACCAAAAAAAAACTGGTTTGTATTGTTATTATTTTTTAATTTACAAACATATTTAAATATTTATGAAAGACTTAAATTGATACATGTATTCACACATAGGTTACACCTTTCCATTAAGGTTCTCATGCTAGGGACCTCAGGTGAACACACCAAAGTTAAAAACATGATATTTCTTCCAACTTTCTTGCAAATGGATAAGGAAATAAAGGCCAAGTGCTTAATGACATACAAAAATAAAAGTAACTAACCATGCAGGGACAAGAACTGCTGCAACAATAGCGAGTGCTGATCCCACAATGCACAGGAGTGGATAGGTCAAGGTCAATCCCACAGTTCCCACTACGCCCTTGAAAAAGTAGTTCCAGATTCTGTTGAGATGTCTAGTGAAACTCTTTCCAAGGAATCCTGTCAAACAGATCAAATCATTTTCTCTCTTACAAAATATTTCTTTCATTTTCAAATAAAAAAAAATCAACAATTTCTAATTTCTCAAATTTATCATTTATGCACATGATTATGAGACATAAGCATGTTAACCTCTGTCAGGTGTTTGTTCAAATTTTCTGCGGGAATCAAATACATGTTGCCACAGTGACCTGAGTCTCGACACGAATGTCTCTGTTTTAGAACTTTCCTTGGGGAACAGTTTTCCCTGTTGAAAAAAGTAGAAATATTGACACAAGATTGACTTCCAATATAACATATATCATACAGTGCAAAAATTTGATGGTGGTTCTGCCTCTGGCTTAGTCAAGCAAATACTTTCTCCAATACTGTAATCCACAAGAGACTTGTATGATTAGTGATATTCAAATTTTTATAAAGGATAAATTCTACGGAATAATTTTTTTTTAGGTCATAGAGTTATTTCATCATCATTCAAATATCTGATAACATTTCTATGTGTTACCAATTACACAAATTTTATGGAAGAGGGTTACTTTGAAATTTCAACATGTTTCAATGAGATATACAACACAGAGTAGTTGCAAAATAAGGAAATACATATACAGAAAGGTCTTTCTCAAATAGCTTATAGCAATAATTAACCCCCCCCCCCCTCAAGTTTACTTTATTTGGAAACCCCCCCCCCCTTTCTTGTGCTCACTTTCTGTGACATACATGTACTTACATTAATTTGACTCAGTTCCAAGTCAGGAATAAAAGGTTTGAGCCAGAATAATGCCCTTATACTGATAGGACTGCACCATGGGACGACTACCTGAATTTAAAAACAAAACATGAACATTTTTATATTATTTCTTCCTTGTCTATAAAAAGTCCATATTTAGCAACATTGCCAAATCTTGGCCATGCTTACCACATTGCATTGCTAAATCCATCATACTACTTCATTAATATTAAAACAATAATATGTGAACAATTTTTAGGCTTTGATAATATATTAATTTTTCAGATCTTGTCACAGTACAACTTTAGTTGACAAAACCTTTTTCTCTTATAAATAAAAAATATGTAATCATCAGAGTTCAAAAGGTTGAAAAAATAATGCAGTAAAAGAGACTCTTGGTTGTCAAAATTGGCAATGTCCCCAAATTTTGACTTGTTAGATTTTTACATCGAAGTTGAAAGACTTATCTGTCATTGTGAGTGCTTCCTATTGTTACTTTTGTTTTAAGGAGATACTGAAATGAGCAATTCTATACATCTAAAGTTACCACTTGATTTATGTAAGATTACTGATATCTGATACCTGTAAATACTATGCACAGTCAGTTCACATTTAATACTTAATCAGAAACTACAAATCACTTTTCAGCAATAGAGAAATCCTTCCTACCCCAAGAAAGAAAAGAGAATTCCAAGACCAGGCCCAGGTCCTCTGTAGGTAGTTCCACCATCTCCAAAATGGATAGCGTGATGATGTCATCCTACCATGGTAACGGTCCAGGGTGTAGTAAACATTCTATGAACAAAACAAATAATTCAAATATTGATTTTGAATAATTATGAGACCTAGATCATTACTACTTTTGTAAGAAAACCAACTTGTGTATCTGAACTGTTCAAACTCGTGGGATTACGTTATTTTATCCGCAAAATGTCAGCAACAAATTACAAATTCTTTTTTATTCAATTTCTCTATAAAAGAAAGCTAAAACATAACAGAAAACACTGGAGTCTACTACATAAAAAACTCTTATTAACAGATATCGACTTACCGCTGGTGGAATCTTGTGGGGTGGTTTGTTTTTGACAATTTTTGTGGGAATCACAGTACGCTTTGTTCCTTCGGTTTTGGAAACAATGTAATTTTTTGGCAGCCAGATTCTCGTAGAGAATGTGTATCTTCTGTTGGGAATTCGTACTTTACTGAGCTCCTTTACTAACACAGTTTCTCTCTAAATGTTTAAATGCAAAACCATAGTTAATCTGATATTGATCAAGTATACGCTAAACCCTACAAAGCTTTAAGTAACCACTAAAATATTTCTTATAGGTTAAAACATAAAATTGTTATTTAAACACAGTCCAAGTTAAACTAATATGAAAACACATAAAATTAATTATCCAAATACTAACAATTATTAAAATTTAATCAAAGGGGTATTTCAGAAGAATTCAAATCTTGGATTTTTTGGTAACTAAATTTTGGATCACCAAAAGCATACATGTAAGTGACATGCTTGTAAATCAATACGACAACTTATAATCTTGCAATTTTTAAGATTTTTTTATCTACAGTAACACACATTAACAATAGGATAAATTAAAAGGAAATTAGCCAGTGGCTCTGGAGTAATGGAATTTTACACACTGACAAAATAAGCCCCTGTGCAGCACTGTAATATCTCTTTACACTGTTTGTACAGAGTTCTATAAAAAGATCATATTACACATGTTCTCCTCTTTTACCTCTTTGATGAAATTGAGGTCTCTTTTCAGGAAGTAAGCTGTCTGGTTCAGTTCTTGTTGTTCACAGAGATTAATGGCTTCCTCATGAGCTGACCATAAATTCTGAAGAATGAAGTCATCCTGGCAAAGAAATATTGGTAAATTAAGTACAAGTGTACATCTTCACTATAAAAGAAATATACAATGTTGCTGCCTTCACTACTGTAAACGTACTTAAATTAGCGCACTCAAAATTTAGCATGATCATTCTTTTCAACTGATTAGCTCAATAATAAAATTAGCGCACTAGAGTTTTGAACAACAACTTGTATTAGTTTTAATCATATATTAGCGTGTACATAAATAAGTGGACAAGGTGTGGAAAACACTAAAATATGATTACTGCTAAAATGTGTATGTTTATGGTATATATACAAATTTATCACATAACTATTGGTCTTCATCAATACCTGAAAGCATAACATAAAAAGTGCATAAAACAATCAATACTGGTTTTAATAGGTGTTAGTAAGAAATAAGTTGTCCTCTGCTAAGTGGACACAACTTGTTTTTGAAACTTGTTTATACCAAAATGTGAATACATGTACTTACTTCAAATCTTGTGATCTGTTCATTGACCCAGGCTTGTATCCTGGATTTGACTGGGTAAGCTTGCTTAAGATGATCTATCAACTGAAAAGTGGAAATCACACATTTTAAAGATTCCAAACCTTTATGATAGCAAAGAAACACCAGAAATCCTAGCACCAAGCTGCTAAAACAGAATTTTTTTACTTAATTTTGATTTGATAAACCTGATTTATTTGACAACTAAAATCATTCATCATCTATCACCTGTTGTTTATGAGTTGCTAGTTTGTCTTTAACACTGCCGACAGCTTTCTTCATAGCAATGACCGATTTAGCCTGAGACACTAATAGAAGACCTGCAAATATTCAACGAAATAATTTTTAAACATACTCATAGTCTCAGAATCATATACAGTCAAACCTTGCTATCTCAAACTCAATGGGACTGAGAAAAAACTTCAAGATATCCATGGATTCAAGATATGGAGGGTAAAATACCCAAAGAATAAGTGATTGGAACCTCCAAATCACTTCGACATATCCATGGTATTCGAGATATCAGTGTTCAAGATACCTACATTCAACTGTAGATCAAGATTTTTTTTACAGGGCTGATTCAAATAAATCTCTCAGTGTGAGTTAAGAAAACCATACAGTATTACTGTCAAGTATTGTATGAATAAGCTTAAGGGTTAACATGTTGCACATGATCTGCATTAACTCACATCTATCTGTGTAAACAATGGCGAACTCTGCAGTGTAAAAATGATCTAACTCACATCTACATCTGAGTAAACAATAGTTAACTCTGCTGTATAAACATGATCTGAATTAAGTCACATCTACCTGGCTAAGTTAACATTGTTTAACTCTGTAAATGTTTAACTCTGTAATGCACTGAACTGCTTTTATAACTAAAACTTAACTTTTTGAAATGACCCAGTTTGTTTCTTTATTTGTCCTACTAACCTATTCCAGGCTGAAGATTCTCTAGTTCAGTGTTGCTGGAAATTGCACTAAATACCCTGTCTAAGTATTCTTTCATTATTGCTGTGTTGACTTTCTATATTTAGAAAGAAAGAAATTTATGTATGAAGCTAAAACAGATATTGTTCCCCATTACAGGATAAAGTATTTACTCAAATTGTATCTAAAAACAAACCTCTGAGATTTCTTCATCTGACAATCCTTGACCTGTAAAAAAAAAAAAATTAAAACTTCAAAAAGTATTAATGATAAATCCAATATTGAATCCTGACCAATTTTGATTTAAATCCAATTCAATGAACCTCCTTAAAATCCAATTCAAAATTTAATACAATCATTTTTTTGTACAAAAAGCCTGACTTTGAACCGACCTTGAAGATCCCTCATCATTTTCTGTCTGTATTGTACATGCCACCCCCTTGCCCCTCTCTCTAAAATACTGCTCAGAATAGGAAGACAGTTATTTATCAGATCTGCAAAATATTTTAAATATAACTGTAAAAATTAACAAATAAACCTGTATATCAGAGGAAAGTAAAAATTTTAAAAATATGTGCATTAAGAGTTAATATTTATTTTCATCACTACATATCATTGGGAAAATCTTTATGCTCCTATTTATAGATATTCTGTTTTTAACTAAGACACAGCAAAGCAAATTAACTCTTTAAAAATGGCACTTAAAATATGCAAATTCATAACATCGCAACTTTATACCTATAAAATCATAACATAAAATAAGACAAGAAAACAATCTGAGTTTTTCTGTGATTTATGCAAGGTTAACCAATACTACATACCTTTATTAAATAATCTCAGGTCAATTTCTTGTCCCCCTGGAGTCTGATAAATGTAGGGGACAGGTGGGGGTCTCAGAGCTGCTGTCTGAACAAAAAAAATCATAAGTAAAATCAGAGCTACAAACATTAAAGTTAAATATTATGTACCGGTAGTTCGATTTTGATCAGAAAATCTTAACCAAAAAAACAAATATGTTTAATCCATCCTAATTAATCCTATTTTATCCTTATGACTCTTTTATTGCATATTTATTATTTCTCTTTTCATTTACATACAAAAATCTTTGATTTTGATCAGAAATTCAAAAGGTTTATACATTGTTTATCATACTGTACAGTAGTTCAACAAACCTGATAATTTTTGGACTGTAGCTTTTCACACATCATTTTAACGTATGCACAAAACTTATCCAATGTGTCCTTGTACTTTGGCTGTAATCATAGAGCATAAAACAGGACAGTTTAAATAAATAACAATTCAAGAATTTTACTGCTGAAGATCTAAGCAACACATAATGTTTTTTTTTAGACCTTGATATCCAGTTCTGCTACCAGGTGTTTCATGTGTTCATCTTGTATTTTTGACTGTAAATCTCCTGGACTTGTAGACGGCATTCCAATCAATATATCTGAAAATTATATCATCTCGATTTATAAATTTATTTTCAAGTGGCCCACTACATTCCAACAATTTCAATTAAGTATCTTTAACTGTGAAATACACAAAAACTAAATTATAAATAATACTTTGATGATGACTGTCTCAAGGTCTAATCTTGTAACAAATATACTATAAGAGCACAAATTTTCGTGAGGATAAAATTTCCTTGTTTTGTCATCTAAGAAGGTTTCGTGGTTATTAAAATTCATTGTTTTGAAAGTAACCCTACATTATATATAGTCATATAAAAATTTTGTGTGGGATTTAATTTCGCTGATAAATATTAACAACGAAATAAATGAAATTAAATCCCCATCGAATTTTTCTGCTTTTACAGTAGATTTACATTCTGATGATGTGTTTTTTTCTACAACTTCATACCTTAACCAAAAAATCTATTGAAAACCACAAGATATCCACTTGTGAGAATCATACATTTAAGGTGTTAGTTTTTTTCTTTTTATTGAATATGAATAATTTTGAGAAACATGATTACACATACACTGTTTATGTGAAGCTTAGACTTCAAGTTTTGAACAATCTTTTCTTTCCATAGCTAATTTTGGTTAGAAAATTTAGAAATGGTACAGGTTATGGGAAATTTACCTAAAATCAACCAAAGCCCTCTACCCATCTCCCTGGCTGACTTGGTCAAGCTGAAAAAGTGAGACCTAAATCTGTTCCTGGCTGTTATTATCATTAGACGGAGAGATACAGCTGCATCCTACAACAAAATGACAAAATATGAATTTAAAACTAAGTATTCTTACAAAAAGTTATTGCACCTTTACCATATAGTCTGTTTCTATCAAAGCATATAATCCAGTAAAATTGCAGATGTAAGGTAAAGTGAATGGAATTACAACAAAGGGCCCATGGGCCACAATGCTCACCTGAGTACCTTTGCCCGGCTTTTCTTCAGGAATTTTTTTTTTAAAATTCCCCCTTTACTCCCATAAATTTTAAAACCCATACTGTGGCCCCAACCATAACCTCTAGGGTTCTTGAGAAGATTTTTATTTTAAACATCCACCCTGGTTTTGCTTTTTCTTGATTACTTCCTCTTTCATGAGGGTGTGGCTGTTCATTTGAACAAAATTGAATTTTCTTCAATCAAGGTTGCTATGTGGCAAGTTTGATTGAAATTTGTCAATTGATTCCTGAGAAGAAGTTGAAAACAGAAGAATGACAGCTAGACAGAGACTTCAATCAGAACTCTCAGGTGAGCTAAAAATTGTAAAAAAAAAAAAAAAAAAAAAAAAAAAAAAAAAAAAAAAAAAATTTGAAAGCAACCTTTTAAAGATCTATTAAATTGCAAAAAAAAAAAAACTTTGAACCACAGAATTTATCTGCAATACGGTGTGCTTCAAGGATGGAAGAGGAAATAAAATTACTGGCAGGTTTACGCAGGTTTACTTACATCAAGCAGGGAATTGTGAGCTCTGTTTGTTCCCTTTTGAAGTAATTGTGTTAATCTCCATTTGTGAACTTGTCCAGGAAAATTCAAACTGTCCACATCAAACTCTCTGAAATGTGGAGAATACTGTATAAAGCTATGTTTCACAGACCTGATCCTGAAGGAATTACAACCATTTTGAACATATTACACATGAAGTCTGGATGTATAACATAACTGCTCATAGTCATCATCATCATCATCAATAATAACATGATGAAATAAATTAATTAATATAGTTATAATGGTTATAAATTTACCCATTCTCCCAGATGTCATCCAGCTGTTTTTTAGACAGTTTTTTCAAACCTCCATCTGGAGTCAATCCAACTTCCTCCAATTCATCAAACACAGGAGCTTTAAACAGGTCCTTAAAAATCTGTGACTGTCTTTCCTGTGTGTTTATATAAAATACATGATTTATAAACAAATGACCTGAGTTATACCTTCTTTGTAGATAATCAACACTTTAATGTCAGAAGCACATGGTTTACAACAGAAAATCATAAATTTACTTTTACTGTACTATCATTTTAAACAAAGTGAAAAGACTGCTTTTGTTCACATACATGTGTCATAGGCAGTACTAAATATTTCCTCCTGATCATAGAAACACATAAGGACAAATAAAACAAGAGGCCCAAGGGCCAGATCGCTCACCTGAGCACTGTGGCTAGGAAAAAAGGAAAAATCAGTTTAGTATTGAAAAGCATAAATGCATAAGTGGTCCCAACCTACCCCTAAAAAGGGAGTGGGGGGGGGGGGGGGGCGTCATGATTTGAACAAGCTTGAATCTACACTATCTGAGGATGCTTCTGAATAAATATGACAAACCGTGGCTTTGCTGTTCTTGAGATTTTTAAAGATTTTTCCTATATATTCCTATGTAAAACTTTGATCATACATTGTTGCACCACCCTACCCCCGGGGGTCATGATTTGAACAAACTTGAATCTACACCACCTGAGGATGCTTCCACATAAATATGACCAATCGTAGCTTTGCTGTTCTTGAGAAGAAGATTTTTGAAGATTTTTCCTATGTACACCTATGTTAAACATTGATCGTCCAATGTGGCCCCACCCTACCCCCAGGGGTCATGACTTGTACAAACTTGAATCTACACCACCTGAGGATGCTTCCAAATAAATATGACCAATCTTAGCTTTGCTGTTCTTGAGAAGAAGATTTTTGAAGATTTTTCCTATGTACACCTATGTTAAACATGGATCGTCAATTTTGGCCCCACCCTACCCCTGGGGGTCATGATTTGAACAAACTTGAATCTACACCACCTGAGGATGCTTCCAAATAAATATGACCAATCATAGCTTTGCTGTTCTTGAGAAGAAGATTTTTGAAGATTTTTCCTATATATTCCTATGTAAAACTTTGATTGTCCATTGTGGCCCCACCCTATCCCCGGGGGTCATGATTTGAACAAACTTGAATCTACACTACCTGACAATAATTCCACATGAGTTTCATCTTTCCTGGCCCACTGGTTCTTGAGAAGAAGATTTTTCAATAATGCCATTAATTTTTTGCTATTTCGTAATTATCTCCCCTTGGAGGAGGGTGTGGCCCTTCATTTGAACAAACTTGAAACCCCTTCACCCAAGGATACTTTGTGCCAAGTTTGATTGAAATTGGCCCAGTAGTTCTGGAGAAGAAGATGAAAATGTGAAAAGTTTACGACAACAACGACGCAGACGACGACGCCGCCGACGACAGACAACGGACAAATTTTGATCAGAAAAGCTCACTTGAGCCTTCGGCTCAGGTGAGCTAAAAATATGTGTGGTTCCGGTTACCCGACCTTCCCTATTTTATATCCCCGACCCTAAACTTTTTTTTGGCAATTTTCATATTTTTTCCGGAATTTCCCCCGATTTCCATCAATGGCTCCAGTTTAAGTTTTAGTTTCAGCAATGACGGCCTCCTTGCAAAACATAGTGCAAGTGTTTAATAGTGTTAAATCCAAAGCAAGCTAGCATGTAGGTGTCCCCTACCAATATTGACTAGTATATTATCACACCACATCTAAATGCCATTTGCAAAGCAGTGATAGGTATTATTTAGAAAAAAATTAAGAAAATCCTTTTGTTAAAAAAAAAAAAAAAAAAAAAAAATCCCTACCTACCTACCCTAATTTTTTTGGAAGTGTAACCGGAACCACACATATTTTTTTGTTTGGCCTAACATCAAAATACCAATAGAAATGTGCATTTATTCTTAAAAAAATGCCTTATAGATTTGCTAATTATTTATTGATGATTCAGTGCAAATTAACGATATAATACTGTTTTACAAGACTTTTACAGAAACTGAGCACCAGCTTTGGTTTGCATCACAGATGTTCATAATAACATAAGAAATCCTATAAAACATGCCTGGCCTCCAATTATATCTGTGACAGAGGGAGGCAACACTATTGGAAACACACTCCAGTGAAATAACATTGACTCTGCCACCTAAGAAATTAAAAACAAAAACAATGAATATATGCTTTTTAATCATATTTTGCTCTATAGTTGGTTATTAGTGACTAGTACATACATAAAGTATCATATTGAGTTATTAATACATGTACCTTCTTAATTTCTTTCATGACATCTCTCATGTTTTCTGGCACTTTGTTTAGATCTAGAGGAAAATTCAATGGCTGCATCTGACCAAAGAGAAATGAATAAGAAATTGAACCACTTATTCTGTCAAAAAACTATATTTTTTAAATATTACTCTGCCCTCAAAGTTTTAAGTATTAAGAGTACTTATTTTATAATTTGTTACAGTATTAACCTAAAATTTACCAAAATCATGCAATACGTATACATCTCATTTAAAAAAATTCATATAAATACCTTTGCAGCAGTTTCAGTGTCAGTTGACGCCATTGCTACTGTTTGTGGTGATTATTCCTGATAAATGAGTACCTAATCAAATAAAATCATGATAGTGGGTGCAGCAAGTTCTATACACAATCATGTAAGTACATATGAAATTCGAACTGAACTCTGCACATCTGTCAAGCCATTTTTTTTTTAAACCTTCCCTGAATTCTTTCACAACAACAATTTCATGTACTAATTGGTGAATGGCACGGCAGGACTGCAGTTATTGTGAAGATTTAGTTCCTACAGAAGCTTTAAGGAAGCAAAAAATATTTTCATCTACTCTACAATGCTTTATGATAAAAAAAATTGCACTATTTACACTTTATTTTAACATGGAAGTGCAAATTACATACAATGTCATGAAGTCACAGTCTAGACCTTCCAAATATCTTGTGTGGTATTCAGAGATGGATCAAAGTTAAACGACTTAAGCAATGGATAGGTTTTTCATGACAGCCAGTAAAATAACAAAGTGAGCTCAATAGACAAACGTGTTAGAACAGAGGAATTTCAAACTGAAATCTGTATATTCATCAAGCAAATTTTTATGTGAAACCTACCCAGAATTCTTTCGCATACACAATGCCATGCCGTAATGGTGAACATAACAGGCCCACAGTTAATGTGAAAATTGCAGAGAGCATAAAAGAAAAAAAAAATAATTGCATCCTACAATGCCTTTTGCTTAAAAAAAAATGCACCATTTAGTCTGTGTTATGGAAGTACAACTAAAATGCGATGTCGTGTGACATCACAGGCTAGACTGTCTTGTGCGATTTGAAGTTTGTAGAGGCAGATCAAAGTTACAAGTGTAAGCTGTTTAAAGATTTTTTATGGTATACAACTGCGCTTGATCCAACGGTTACACTGTAAAACATATTATTTGGTTATTTTACTGATTAATTCATCAAGGAGGGGTAACATTACATTTTTGCAAACAATATTGAACAGGTCCAGCACAATCTCTTGATTTAGCTATATACTGTTGGAGCTAAATTCTATTGCCAGAAAATTGATATACTTAAACTACAGTACAATGTAACTAAATGTGCAATTATTATATAAATGAAGGCTGCTCTCTGACTGACTGAAAACCCCCTGCTAGTCCCAGTGACAGTTGTTTCCTAGGTCTGCGTCTCTGAAATGCAAACAAAAACTGGTGCAACCTACAACTTTCTTCGTTTAACTCTATGGAATTGGAACGTCCATTTCGAATTTTAGTTGAATTGCTTTTTTGTAGACATCTTTCATATTCTAGCAGCAATATACGCTTTCCCAGGTCAGATCAGAAGTGAAAGAAGATGCAAATCTCGCATGTGTTTGAGATTTGAGAAACTTCAGCGAGAATTCGCCAACTTCCGGTCTTTCCGAAATAATCACGTTAGTAAACAGACATGTATTTTATACATCTTCCTAAAATCATGATAATCATTGAAATAATAGCTATTTTTTCCTATGGAAAATAAAAACATGTTATTCAGCATTTTGATGTTTCACTTATTTTTACGGAATATAAGTTTTCTATGAATAGAAATGCATGGTAAAGTTACGAGTGTAATGAATGTTGCTTTACAGCAATGGCGGACGCAGCACCAGCCGGTGGTAGTGGAGACCGTGGCAGAGGGGGGTTCAGAGGTGGATTTGGCTCTGGCGGTAGAGGGAGAGGAAGGGGGCGTGGCCGTGGGAGAGGTCGCGGCAGAGGAAGGGGTGCCAAGGAAGGAGAAAAAGAATGGATGCCAGTGACCAAGCTTGGTAGACTTGTGAAAGACCAGAAAATCAAGTCACTGGAAGAAATCTATCTGTTCTCCTTGCCCATTAAGGTAATAATACAGTAAGGTGCATGGCCGTGGGGCCGTAACCCCCCCCCCCCCAATAATTTTGCCGATATATAGAATCTATACTTATAAATTAATAAATTTTGCAAATAAACTCCGAAACGGGTGCACCAGAGTTCTTACTTACTCCTCTAACAATACACTAGATACAAGCTGATGTCCGTAAACTATATTTAGATTTCACTCGCATAGTAAGTATCGTACATTAAATTAAAAGTCTACTTTCATTTTCTATAAACAGCCATGAAATAGCTAAAACGTGAGTACGGTGGCGTTTCCGGTTGGCGGATCTAAGTTACTGGCAATTTTTAATGAAACTGACAACAAGCAATCGTTTATTTATTACATAAAACATCATCACTGAATTATTCAATTAAAACTCGATTTAAATGATATAACAGAAATAAGTTGTCATAACCGATTAAAAAGGGAAATGTGCAAAATATTTTCGTCATTCACCGATCTTTATATTGACGGAAGCTTCTAGAACATCATTTAGCATCGAGCCCGATGTTAAGAAAAAAGGAGGCGATTATAGCTACATGACCATAAGAAAAGCTTTTTCGTGTAAATGGTCATAATTGAAATAATGGTAAATCACTGATAACACTATAAGTTGTGAATATAATTATATATCGAAAGACTATTACATTTACATGTATGTAGTAGGTTTTCCTAATAAATTTATCGGTAAAATTTGTATATATTCCTACTGAGCGCATCGTGACAACGAACCCGAAGTACAATTTGTACTTCGTAATAAACTTGCTTACATGAAAAGAGAAAATTAATGAATAAGGTATTGTTCAAATACAATTAAAGATGTAAAATTTTGCGCTTTAATCAATGCACAGTTAATTTCTAAATACAATCTTAAATTATAGCTGCAATAATGTAGCCCTCTCCTTTTTTGAGGGGGGGGGGGGGGGGGGGCAGAGAGAGAGAGGCCAGAAAATATCAGATCAAATAAAAAAAAAAATCAGAGAGGGCTACATTATTGCAGCTTAGTCTTTTGTATCAAATACTCAGCCTATTCATAGGGCGATAAAAGCTATTTTTTACACAGGTACTTGGTTCTTGGTTTATAAATATGTATGTACCTTATTGACAGGTAAAAAAGTGAAGTACATTTTTACATATCAATAAGGTACAAACATATTTATAAACCAAGATCCAAGTACCTGTGAATTTTTAAACCCCCCCCCCCCCCATCAATTTATTAGTAAAATGTTCATATTCATTGCTTTTATCCTTGACGGAAATGAAATAAGAGCATCTGAAGTACAATATCCATAACACAGTATAACAGGTTTCACAATAAACGTCAATTAATGAAATTGCTATTTTTCAAGTTAAAAAAAAAAATTAATAAATAAAACAAAAAAGGGGGGGGGGGTGTTTGGGGGGGATTGGATAGGTAAATCTACTTCATACGGGATTTTGAACAAAGTATTTGTTCCTGCATGCTGAACAAAGTATTTGTTCCTGCTATAAGCCGGTAGGCTGTCAATAGAGAACTACAATATATTTTCTGTCGGTAGTGGTATAAATTCAATTCCCCGCGCTTGCGCGGGATTTCATCTAGTACTATAGAAAACATAGCTACTGTATGCTTGTGCCCCCTCAATAAAAACGTCTGAACTTTTTTTTTTTTTTTTTTTTTTGCTTGTCAAGGAATTTTGGAAGTTGATAGTGCCCCTCCAACCGAAAAAGTATGGTTGTGCCCCTCCCCCCTCCCCCCCAAACTGAAATTGCTTCCTACGGGCCTGACCTGCTGAGATGTCAGTTGTTTTCAAGATCGATTTAAATTGGGTTTATTTTGGGCCTACTGTGGGACTGCAGTATTATAACAGATTGCAAATTTGAAATGAACTATGCATTTGTTTTAAAGCTAATCGGAGATTGCTGGCTAGAAACTTGCATGATAACTTACAATAAACATTTACTATTTGCTAGCATTGCTGTTAGTATTGGTCTTCAGAACAGAGTGCAACAAAAAATCCTGTTAAAAAATATTCTTATCAATCCTAACATAGTGAACAGTAGTTAACTTGATTCTTTATCAAAGGTATTTGTTATCATGGCTTGCTTTCATTCTTGGTCAACAAAATAACTTGCTATTGATTCATGTATTTTTCTTGTAGGAGTTCGAAATCATTGACTTCTTCCTTGGACCATCCCTAAAGGATGAAGTTCTGAAAATTATGCCTGTCCAGAAGCAAACTCGTGCAGGTCAAAGAACAAGATTCAAGGTAAAATAAAATTCATGATAAGTATCTGCTGTATTATCTAAACCATACCTCCTTAAGATTAGAAATTGGTTGCATTGAATTGAAAGCATCGGCCATTTCATAGATATTCACTCTCATATATATTGCTATTACAGGCATTTGTTGCCATTGGAGACCACAATGGTCATGTAGGTCTGGGTGTAAAATGCTCCAAGGAAGTAGCCACTGCTATCCGTGGGGCCATCATACTTGCCAAGCTGACCGTCATCCCTGTCCGAAGAGGATACTGGGGTAACAAGATCGGAAAACCCCACACTGTGCCTTGCAAGGTAAGTCCTTGGTTCACTGGTGGAAAAAAAAAACTATTGATAAATTGTTGCAGTAAGGATACATACACAGATTTGTGACAGATCCTTTAAAGAAAGCAGTACTTATTGTATTTTAAAGAACTTAAGATGGCTATAACATATTTCAGGTGACAGGAAAGTGTGGTAGTGTAATGGTGAGGCTGATCCCTGCACCAAGGGGTACAGGTATTGTCAGTGCACCTGTACCAAAGAAATTGCTTCAGATGGCTGGTATTGATGATTGCTACACATGTGCTAGAGGATGTACAGCTACTCTTGGCAACTTTGGTAAGTTTGAGACCAAGATTTTATATATATTTATGAAGATAGATAAGACCAATTGTACTTTGCTAACTTTGGCATCTAGTTGAATTATCTATCAAAAAATTCATGAAGTGGTTTTCAGTGAGTCTGACGTTAATCATCAAACCAAAAATAAGACTCTTCAATGTCTCATATTATGCTATAATCTTTTAGCTAAGGCCACATATGCTGCCATCGCTAATACCTATTCCTACTTGACCCCTGACCTGTGGAAGGAGACAGCCTTCACCAAGTCCCCATACCAGGAGTATACTGATTATCTGGCCAAGAACCATACTAGACAACCAGGTCAACGACAGGAACAGAAAGTGTACTAGGCTAAATCATTGAAATAAAAGCTAAATGACACTGTAAAACCTGTGTTAGTGTTTATGTATGCAATTGCTGTTGGTTCATACATTGGGAAAATCAAAGGTGATACTGGTAAGGATTAATGAAAAGACCATGGAACTTATATAATGCATTGACAAGAACCATATATATGCATGTAAGATGTAAACCATTAGTTTCTTCCCAGAGATAGAGGGGGAAGATTGAAGAAAATTCTTCATTGAAGGGGGTCCTTGTAGAGCTGAAAGAAATGAGGAAGTAAGGCATATGAGATGAATATAGGGTTGATGAAAATCAAATTCAGATTTTTAGCTGTGTTTTAAGAATTTAATACAGGAAATTTTGCCAAACATCTTTTGCTGAGAAATCCTTTATGGTAAAATGGAAGGAAATTACTTGGTGGTTTGTAGGGTGATTTTACCAACAGAATAAAATTCCTGACATTTGGTATATGTTCGAGATTACTTTTTGAATCAACTTGCAATAAGTGATGCAATTGAAGCTCAGGTGAGCTTTTCTGATCTTGTATTATCGGGCATCTGACTTCAATCTCTTTACATTCTTAAACCACTGGGATAATTTCAACCAAGCTTGCCACGAAACGTTCTTGGATATGAAGGATTCAAGTTTGTTAGATGAAGAGGCCCTCTTTCAAGGGGAGACGATAAGGAAATTGCAAAAGTTAAGTGTTATATTTTCCATTTCTTCTCAAGAACCATTGGGCCAGAAAAGTTTAACATAAATGAAACTTCCTGACACAGTGCTTCATGTTTGTTCAAATCATGGCTCAGGGTGGGACCACAATAGGACATAAAAGATTTAGATGGAAATGTAGAGGGAAAAATCGTTAAAAAAAAAACTTTCTTCTCAAGATCAGCAGGGCCATGATTAGTCATATCAATATGCAAGGAAGTAAATTCTTAATGGGGAATTCATATAGGAACACGCGTATTCAGAGAATTTGTCTATGCTTAAGGGAAAAAAAGAGTGGAAAAACTGGGAAAATTTTGCACTTTGAGAAAGAAAAAAGGTCAACCTTGACCTTTCAGCTTTGAGTTATGTCCAAGACACGATGTAGTTAGATATCGACATATTACTTTTATATAGTTTGCTTTAATACTTCTCTATTCTTGAATGTTTATTACAACACTTTCTGTTTTAAGAAGTTTTCCTTACTGTCAATATTCACGATATCGTACCGATCTCGAATCATGATTGTTCAAAGGATTTTGGTTTCCATCCTTAATATTGTGTTTTTTAATAGCGATTCTCTGTAACCACTTAAACTTCTTTGCCACGCATGGTCACCGATTTTGATGAAACTTTGCCCATTATTACAACTTGACACCAGAAACATATATTAAATAAAATTTCGTTGCTATGTGTCTTGGTTGCCATGGTAACAGCCAGAAAAGTTGAAAAAATTGAGATTTTCAGCTTCTTTGAATCTTTATTACGCCTTAATAAAGACTAAGAAAAACAAACAAACCATTCTCCCAAAAACGTGACACCTTGTTGCCACTTATGCTATAAAGAAACTATTTAGAATTTATCTCTTAGTAAATGGTAACCATGGGTACATTTGGAATACATTTTAGAAGCTGAAAAATGCTGAAAAACGCTCAATATTCACCAGTGATAGATGTTACATGATCAAACTCAATCAACAACCTAAGAAAAACAATAAAAAATATTTGACCTTATGTAATTAGGTATTGGCAATATTATTCTAAAAATAACTTTCATGGTTGCCATGGTAACACAGCGTAACCATGCAAAATCTGTTGCAATGATTGGGTTAATGCTACTATCTTGAGGAAAAACAATAAAATTCACGACTAACACATATGCATCCTTGGAAGCTTGCAACACCGACAACATAAGAAAAATTGGGATTAAATGTTACTTTGCATTGTAACCATGGAAACAACGTATCAGTCGTTTAAAGTGATATTTTTTGCTCCTTTAGGAATTTACTTACCTTTTAATCAAGAAACATATTATTTGATTCACCTTGAATACTACTTAACTGGTAGAACTAAAGTTGAATATCATATATTGATAAAGTTTGTTGAAAAATACAACACTGTTGCTATGGTTACCAAGAAGGGAAAATGTTCAATTTTGTTAATTTTATATCAATATTAAACCCTATGTGCCAGCTTTTTGCATCCAGTTAGAGATTGGGTGGTAGTCAAAATTCAAAGTCAGGTTAGTTGTTCATATATATCAATCATAAAAGTTTTGGGAATCTACTTACAAGGGTGCGTATCCAAGGAAACAGAATATTTTTTAGATTTTTATGCATATTTTTCCGGCTAATTTACATAGCAACGCTCTATTTAAAGAATTGAGTTTGAATTTTTTGAAATGTGAAAATTAGGGTAACACCAATGCCTTTAAAAATTGATCATCAGTTACATAGAAATATGCTTTTTAAAAAGATAGGATAAGATTAAAACACTAAGAGAGTAAATTTAAAATCCTTTCGAGGTAAATAACCATAGCAACCGTTGCCAACCTATAAGAAATATCATATTTCGTCCTTGGTATATGTTACAAGGACCTCTTGTCTATTATTTGCTTGCATTTCAACCTATAATTGTTTTTATTCTTAAGGTATGTCACTCGTGAAATTTGTTATATCAAGGATTTTTTGAGAAGTATATTTTGGATAAGTATTCATATAGTATGACTCAAAATCGCAGAGAAAATGGGGGGTCAGTGTGCATATAACTGAGCTACGGTACAATTAAGTTGACCTTTTTGCACTTAAATTGTAACTCTGGTTAATCACTTTAACCGTTATCACATTTTATCAAATGTAACCATGGCAATAAACATAATCTTATTTTACGTAAAATAGTTTGAATAATATTTATCATTGAACAAATCATACAAATTAATGCGCGTAAATTATTGTGTGACCTTTTTGCACTTAAAAAGTCTCATATTTGGGGTATGAAAAATCTAAATAGGCAATAGAATATTTTCTTGTATCAAACTTTTTACGACTTAAGTGCTGATCTGTCAGTAGTATCGTGTAGTTTAAAATAATGAAAGAAAAAGTTAGGGTCAGTAATGTAAATTTTGAAATATTGGTCAAAATGTGCGATTTTCGGGCAAAAAACCATGTAAATTTTATCTTGACTTCTTTAATTTATCTTCATTTCTTGGCAAAGTTTGTTAAGCGAAGGTGTAAATTTTGTTATAAGAATATAAATTGAGACCTATATTTAATATTCCAGGCATATCATAACGGAAAATATTCTTGGAGTAAAAGTATGTGAGGCTAAAGTTCCAAGATATTAAATTCAATAAATGTGTAGATTTGCAGAATTTTCTGCTAAATATCCTTCCACCACAAGAAATAGTCCCTTATAAATCTGGCTTCTTTATGAATTTTTGAGCAGTTTTTTAATTGAATGTTGAACATTTTACAGTGTTTAATTCAAATATATTATAGAAATTGAATTGTAATGAATAGTTTTGTAGTTAGAGGTTCTGACTGAACTTTTCTAAAAGGCTGACGAGTGACATACCTTAAGTATATGACTTTATAAAATTAAATGAACAAAATTATTACTTTTGAATACTTTGTTTCCATAGTAACGTATGTAATAGTTGATTTACCAAACATGTTTATCATGCATTTAAGACATCAGGCCTTCAACTTTCAGAAACAGTCATTGCCACTTGTTTGCTTTGCTGCAAACGTTAACTGGGGGACTCTGAACATGTTGAAAAATGCCATTTTTCAAACGTTAGGACATGTTGCTATGGTAACCATGACACGTAGCAACCAATTTTTGCCTGATTTGAGTTTACGGTATCAAAGACTTTTATCATAGAGAGTTTGGAGAAATTCTGAGACTATGCGTGCCACAGCTCCTATATAAAAGTTCAAGTCATTACAGAGAATGGCTCTTAACATGTGAGTTACTTGAAAACTATCTCTTATAAAACTTTCTCTGTAGTGTCAATATCGACGATATCGCTTCGATATCGAATCATGTTTGCTCAACCCTTGGTAAGTACCGTCCCTGTTACTTTGTATGTGTGTTTATGTTTAAATACTTTACCTTTACGCAGATTGTACTTGCAATCGATATCGCCGATATCGTATCGATATCGAATCATGATTGTTAAAAACATACTACTTTACCAACCTTCACTCTAATACAAAACCTTACTTTTAACATATCCAAAGACAATAACTTCTATGTTTCTTAACACAACACTTGTGCATATTTACTTTCTGACTAATAAGTTTACCCTACTGTCGATATCGACGATATCGTATCGATATCGAATCATGATTGTTAAAACATATTTAACAACTTTCTCCCTAACCCAACATCTTACTCTAAACCTAATCCAAGACAATAACATCCCCTAACCCTTTGTTTATCATCATAATTTATTTTCATTTTTATGCCAATAGTGAATCGATTTCGACATCACTTGTGGCCTTGTAAAATTATGCTATACCTCATTGTGAAAATGAATTGTACAAATAGGATCGATACGATATCGTCATGGTATTGTCGATATCGACGACATCGACATAGCACAAAGTCTCGTATATGGTACCAAGTATTTCCAATTAATAATGTTGATCAGCCTTTGGCCTTAAAGTCAATAGGAGTCATTTTAACGTTAAGGAATTCATGACCAAAAGTTTCATTGCTAAAGCTTACAGAAAAACTAAATTTATTATCTGAAAACTATATATGCAATATATATTTCTGACCTTGACCTTTTGGAATTTTTTAAGGCCATGGGAAGTTGTGATATAAAATTTCATTGCGAGATCTCAAAGTATTTTTAACACAGAGACAGAATGTACGAATTTATGACCTTGACCTCTTGACCTCAAAATCGATACGGTTCTTCTGTAGGCCATAGGGAGTTGTGATATTAAATTTTATCGAAGAAAGTTCAAAGAAAACTAAAGTTATCATCAGGAAAATGTTATTAGCAATGTTTATCTTTACCCTTTCGACCTCAAAATCAAAAGGGGGCTTCCTTAGGCCATAAGGAGTTGTGATATTTAATTTCATTGCAAAAGCTCAAATACTTTTTAGAATATCGTACAGAAACGAAAGTGTTACACACAGACAGAATGTGTGAATTTATTCCTTGACTTTTTTATTTTTTGACCTTAAAATCGGCATGGATCTTCTTCACGTCACAGCTAGGAATTTGTGATTTTAAATTTTTGTTGAAGAAAGCTCAAAGAAACCTACAGTTTTTATCTGGAAAATGTTATTTGTACTGTATGATTTTTTCCCCTTGAGCTTTGATCTTTTGATCTTAAAATCAAAGGGGGTCTTCTTTGGGCCATAAGGATTTGTAATATAAAATTTCAATGCAAAAGCTCAAACACTTTCAAAGATATTGCCCGGAAACGAAAGTGTTACATAAAAAAAACAGAATGTATAGAAATTTATGACCTTTAACCTCAAAATCAATATATATAGGCTATAGGGAGTTGTGGTGTAAAATTTCATTGCAAGAGCTCAAAGGCTTCTCGAGATATCGTTCGGAAACGAAAGTGATACACATGGACAAGGTATGAATTCATGACCTTGACCTTTGAATTTTTTACCTCAAAATCAATTGGGGTCCTCTTTAGGCCATATGGAATCGTGATATAAAATTTCATGGCAAATGCTCAAATGCTTCTTGAGATATCGTCCGGAAACGAATGTGTTACGCACAGACAGAAATACAGACAGTCGGACAGACAGACCAAAATTAATATCCCCCACATTCAATGAGAGGTGGGGGAAAAATCTCAAAATAGCAGGACCATGATTATTCATAATAATTTGCAAGCATTCTCGGGTAGTTTAGATTCATATTTGTTCAAATCATGCATGGCCCCAAGGGGAAAAGAATGGCATCATAATAGAGTTTTACATGGGAGCATGTACTAGTAGGGAACATCTTTTTTCCTTTTAAAATGATAAGCAAGGCCATGATTAAAGTCTTTTAAGCATGCAAACTACCCCAGGTAGTATGAATTCAAATTTGTCCAAGTCATGAATCCCATGGTGAGTGTGGGACCACATCACAATTGGGAGTCTAACTGTTACATGAGAATATGTAGGAGAATTCTGTTTAAAAATACAAAAAAGAACTGCAGAACCATGACGACTCAGGTGAGCATTGTGGTCCATAGACCCCTCTTGTTTTAAGTCTTAAGGAAGCTCTAAACACTGCACACTAAAGAGTTCTATTTGTAGGGTACTTTTATTGAGTTAGAGTGATCTGCCCTTAGAAGAAAAATAGTATAAATGGGAATCTACAGTTAATGACACAATTTCTTATGAATTAAAGTATTCTTAATGTTATGTTAGACCAATATTAAGTCATTGAATACATTATTTCCATTAATTTTCCCGATGCAAGTAAATAACAGTGATTTCTGTTCACAAATAGTTTATCGTCTTTGAACATTTTTTCTGCAGAAATAAGGCAGGCACTCTATGTTGAAAATGAACTAGACACACCGAATATGTGCACCTTTATATGATATATTTTTCTCGAAGCCTAAAAAGCATTTTTCATTAGTGTTTAGAGCTTCCTTAACTTTGAGTAACTTTAATATTTTCACACACGCAGAAAACGAGAAAAAAAAACAATGTTCTTTTCATGTATAAAAGGTCTCCATTCTTCATTTTTTTAAATTTGAATTCAATAAACAGATTAGGAATCCACATAAAGAAAAATTGTGTTCAGGTTTGTGGAAATGGTCAATTTTGCCTTATTTTACTGCATGTATATTCAATGAAAACAGGGTTCGTGCAACTCTATTAGAACTTAAATGCGATGGTAAGGGTTCTGCTTATCTGTAAACTTTTTCCCCCAAATGCTACCTCTCCCAAGTTTTGTCCTGATTTTAATAGGTGGTGCTACGTGGTAAAAGAAGACTACGCCAAGATACATAATTCTATATAACGATTTTTGATTCCGATGAACAGTGTTTCCAGATTGCTGAAAAATAATAATTTCTGCGAAATTATTTGAACTCATCCTACAAATTAGGACCGATTTCAAATATTTGAAAGTAATTTGATACACAAATGAACTACACTAGTAAGATACATAATTATCTGTATTGGATTTTGATTTCGATGATCATTGTTGTCATGGTTACTAAAATAGAATAATTAATTCTCTCGTTTTTTGTTCAAAGCGTTAGTTTCCTACAGTGTTGATTTGATTTCAGTAACATCAATGCTCATTTTTCTGTTTATCGGTTTACTAATTTACGATTATAAAATTTTACTTGCAATTCCCGTTTACTTTTTTTAACTTTACTTCAAAAATTACAAAATGCATTTAATGATGAAAACCACATCACATACATACAACAGTTTTAAAAACAAAATGGAGGATGAATTCGAGTTAAAGAAGGAAAACAACAGAAAGGATCCTTTGCTTGAAATAGCACTTGTTGTGCAAGTTAATTGCTGGATGTTTATGATCATTTTTAATTCATCCATTCACACATCGAAAATGAAAAGATATTTGCATTTTATGCATTGCATCAAATTATGATGTGATTACAGTTGCATTCTTTTCACGTCTTAAAAACATTTTCTGTGCACGATACCAGGCCCGCTTTCGTCATACTCCTGTTTGCTGATCCACATCTGTTGGAAAGTGGATAAAGAAGCCAATATTGACCCACCAATCCAAACGGAATATTTGCGCTCTGGTGGTGCCACGACCTTGACCTTGATGTTTGGTGGAGCAAGGCTAGCAATCTCTTGACTCATCCGATCCCCGATTCCAGGGAACATTGTTGTTCCCCCCGAAAGAACGATGTTAGAGTAAAGATCTTTCCTTATATCGACATCACATTTCATGATTGAGTCGTAAGTCGCCTCATGGATGCCCGTCATTTCCATGCCAACAAAAGATGGCTGGAACAATGCTTCTGGACATCGAAAGCGCTCGTTGCCAATGGTGATGACCTGACCATCTGGAAGTTCGTAGTTTTTTTCAAGGAGGGAACTTGTAGCCGCTTTAGTCATGTCATCATCAAAGTCCAAAGCCACGTAGCAAAGCCTCTCTTTGACATCCCGGACAATTTCCCTTTCAGCGGTTGTAGTAAATGAATAACCTCTCTCTGTCATTATCTTCATCATATAGTCGGTCAAATCCCGCCCCGCTAGGTCAAGTCTGGTTATCGCATGAGGAAGGGCGTATCCCTCGTAGATTGGCACCGTATGGGTGACTCCATCACCCGAATCTAGAACGATTCCAGTCGTCCTACCGGAAGCGTACAGCGATAAGACTGCTTGAATTGCCACATAAAAGGCTGGTGTGTTGAAGGTTTCGAACATGATCTGTAGCATCTTTTCTCGGTTTGCCTTTGGATTCATTGGGGCTTCGGTCAGAAGGACGGGATGCTCCTCTGGCGCCACCCTTAACTCATTATAGAAAGTGTGATGCCACACCTTCTCCATGTCGTCCCAGTTTGTGACGATGCCATGCTCAATGGGGTATTTAAGGGTCAGGATTCCTCGTTTGGATTGCGCTTCCTCTCCAACATAGCTGTCTTTCTGTCCCATCCCAATCATCACGCCCTGCAGAAAATTTATTTGGTAGTTACAAATTGAAAGGCGTTCTCGGCACTTAATTATTTTAATTTATATGGCGGAAAAAGAATGTAGTTGAAAAAATTAGTTGTTATAGGGCCTAAATAATACCCCTTTCAAGTAATGATTTTGAAATATATATATTTTTAATTTAAATAATCTAGATTTTTTGCACAGCCATTTTTATTCATGAAAAGGGTAGGAAATATTAAAAAAATACCTCGGTTAGGAATTACCTGATGCCGGGGTCTCCCAATTATAGATGGAAACACGGATCGTGGGGCATCATCTCCTCCAAATCCTGCCTTGCACATCCCAGAACCATTGTCAATCACGAGAGCAGCTATTTCATCGGAATCGGCCATCTTAACCACACCCTTCTGGTCGACACCGCAGCAGTAGTGAGAATGAAGAGCACACGCCTTATAGAAGCATCTATCATCGTCATTCTAGATTGATTTTTTTTACATCTCACCATGCATGTGTTAGATATGTGATAGATTATGACTTTTACCATATATAGTATCTTTAATATGAAATCATGTCTATAGAAAGTACTCTCTCTCTCTCTCTCATTTTCCCGAGTTTGTAATATTTGAAATGCATAGTTATATGCATGGATTTCTTTCTATAACATCAATGGATATAAAACACGATCAAAATCACAGAACATTTCTCAGTGAAATAAATTATTGTACTGTAACATAGTCGTGACTGCCTTTTGTCGAGGGCAAGAGTGGAAGTGGTGACTAGTTAATGAACATTTTACAATTATTGCTATTTTTAGGTCAATACGATAATTTACTAACCGGAGGAGTAAAATGCATGTGTATATGTATTCAGCGAGGCCCGATGGGCAAGGTGAATATTGAACTTTGAGGTCGATAAACTGTCGAATTGACAAAAAAAGTCAAAGATTTTTTTTTCAAGTAAATTGTTTTTTTTTTTTCTTATAATGCAAAACCGATGCTACGTGCCTGACATTTATTTTTTTCTACATCGCGCCAAAAATAGATTTACTGGTAATTCAAAATTAATTCAGCAACTGGTTTTGTTTATTTTAACCCCGCTTCTCTCAGTCACTGCACTGGCTAGGAATTCACCAAATGTAAACAAGAAAGATAGCATGTTTTGCTTAATTATTAAACTTTGAATCATTAAAAAAATAATATTGCTGTTTTTAAGCCATCCTCAAAGTACAATATTCACCTCGCTCTTCGGGCTCGGTGAATATTGTACTCCTCAGGGTGGCTTACTCATCGTATTGACCTCAAAAACAGAATAATTGTACATGTATAATGTTCATCTGGAAGGTCAGGTGCAGATCATCATAACTTTTGATGATTTCTAGAATGTTTAATTTCAGGCAGTTCCTAGTATACAGGGAACTAAGAATCAGTCAGTGATATAATGCCAGTGAATAAACTGGACAGAAAGGTTTGCTTTCATCTTCCTACTGAAGCAAAACATATATAGAAAAAATGGTCATTGGCATTTTTTTTTCTCAACGATGAGTTCATTTATTTAAACAATAAAATGCTTTCTTTGGTTGTTAGTATGGGAATTAATGTTGCAGCTGTTGCAGAAAAAATGCATAACCCGCGTAAGCGTGTTATGTAATTTTCTTCTGCAATAGCTTCAACGTTAATTCCGATACTAACAAATAAAGAAAGACATTTTATTGTTTATATTTATATATCTGTAGAAATAATCATCTAAAGTAGGATGAAGTAGATTAAATATTGTATTACTGATATTTACATCACTGTACGTTTCATTGATGGAAGAGCCACTGTCAAGAAATCTACAAAGGTGATATCAGCGTTTTTACTGACTGATAAACTGCAAATTTTCTTATGAAATAAAGGAGAAAATACCGTATTCAGTGGATGTAAATACAACTGACAAGAAAAAAATGCACGAGCAAGGCCATCTTTAAAAAAATCGTTTGGTTGCCCTCTCCCGATCGACGACAGGCGCGTAGCCAGAATAGAAAGGATATGTACGCAGAGAAAGGCAGGGGGGTCTTGAGCCCCCCTCCCCCCCCCCCCCCAGTGTTTAAGGGCTCTGGTCAGGCACGTAATATAGCTTTTTGCCAGCCAGGAAAAAATTACAACTTTAAAATTTTGTCAAGCAAGGACGAAAAAGGAAGATTTTCAAAATTCGAAGTCCTATTTCTTGTGTGTTTGTTGAAAAGGGGGGAGGGGTGTCCATCTTTCACAAACCAAATTTTTATTAATACATTACCAGATTACCATGATTTAACGATGGTGCAACAAACAGTGGGGGTCCACCCTTTCAATGTACATTTTTTCAATAGTAAAAGGTTAGGTTTTGGGAATAAGTAGTGGGGAGGCTCCCCTGATACTACGTGCCTGCTGGTGAGGGCCCAGAAGCTCCGGAGTTTTACCAAATATTTCATTCATTTTTTTTTAAATATAAAAATTATGCCATTCAGTTGTTGTTTAAGAAATAAAAGACATAGTAATATTTATTGTTTTAACGAAAATTAATATTCCATGGAAACTTATTGTATATATAATTGAGGCTAAAAATTTATTCGATAAATTAATTGGTATCATAAAATCATTCTTAACGTTTAAAAACACGTATACAACATTTTAATTATGAACAAAAAAATATCGTATTGTAAATCATACTAGTAGATCACAGCATTCAACGATGTGGCTGAAATTTAATTTTTCAAAGATCTTTAAAAAATATCAATGTATGATAGAACAATGAATTATTTATTTGGATTTGTCAGTTATTAAATAAAAGATTTCAAATTTTATCATACAGCCATGATAATTTAAAATTTAAATCGACACACTATGACACAGAATAATTTGAAGCACGAATATTTGTTGGATGGAACTGAGATTTTTTTCTCCGAATAATTCTCTCTTTTTTCTAATCTTTTTTTTTTCTTTTTTTTTCTGAAAATGATGTGTACGCACTTGCGTATTTGCGTATAGGCATCTACGCGCCTGGACGGACTAAAACAGCCCGACTCAATTTTTTTTTACCTGCAGGAAACAATTTTTTTTAATTCATTTTTTTCACATCCCATGAGGCATTATAATAACTATATATTTCCATTTCTACTTTTTTTCTCTGTGATAACTCTTTGAAAGTTAGTTAAGTTGATTTCTTGATTATTCTATCGGAATGTAAATTTCGGCGAGCGAAAGGTCAGGAGCTAAGAAGGCCTAATACATGGCCGTAGGAACCGGGGGGCACGGGGGGGGGGGGCGTGCCCCCAATAATTTTGCCAATATATAGAATACTATAGAAAACTTAGCTATTTATATATGCTTGCGCCCCCTGAATAAAATCGGCTGATGCCTTTTTTTTTTTTTGTTTGTCAAGGAATTTTGGTAGTTGATAGTGCCCCCCCAACTGAAAATGTTTGGCTGTGCCCCCCCCCTCCCTGAAATGGGCCTGTAATATGCATGTAATTCTCGTGCGGCTAAGGAGGTCTAATATGCATGTAAATCTCGTGCGACTGTCTTTGTGTTTGACGTCAGTGGGCGGGGACTATTGAAATTGACATGTGAGGCCTCGTGTAATTTAAATCTATTAGTCTACATTTTTTAAAATCTAAATTTACAATTTTATTTCACAATGAAATGGAAATATAAGGAATCACTGTCTAGTTAGTAGAGTATGCCAGGGACATCAACGATAGTTGGAAACGTGGGATAATTTATGCATAACGGGCTTCGCCCGTTATGAATTATCCCACGTTTCCAACTATCGTTGATGTCCTGGCATACTCTACTAACTAGACAGTGATTCCGTAATTTAACGTCACGTTTGCAGGTGTTTTTGAATTTAAAAAAATTCTGTCCGTATCCACCTACCCTATTTTTTTAATCTTGAATCGGGAGAGGGCAAGCAAACGTTTTTTTTAAAGATGGCCCAATATATACACAAAAATTATGACATTTCTTTTTCGGCATTAGGGCAACGATTTACGTTCTTACTGGATCCAAAGATACATAGCGGGTTCCAGTAAATGTTCAACCAAGCCTCTTTCTTTACTCCGCACTAAGATATTAACAGTGGTGAAGGAACTTTTGGAAAATTTGAAATCACAAGATTTTACCAAAATCAACAGCTTAAAAACTTGCGACTTTTCTACTTTATACACAACCATTCCCCACGATAAATTAAAGTCCATGCTTTTTGTCATATAATTGACAGCTGCTTTTTCAATAAAAATGGAACTCGTAAATATACCTACGGTACCTTGTCATTGGTCATTTGCAAAATTATTTTGTTAAACAACATTCTGATTGTACACACAAGTACTCTGAAGTTGACATTAAAAACACGCTTGAGTTTCTGATTGACAATATCTATGTGGTTTTTGGAGACCAGGTCTTCCAACAATCTATTGGAATTCCCATGGGTACCAATTGCGCCCCGTTATTAGCAGACCTTTTTTGTATTCATATGAAGCAGAAATTGTCCAAAATCTTGTACGTGAAAAGAAGAAGACACTTGCTGTGGCCTTCAACTCGACATTTTGATATATCGACGATGTATTGTCAATTAACAATGGCTATTTCCATTCTTATGTCGATACGATATATCCTGGTGAGCTTGAGATAAAAGATACCACAGAGTCTGACACATCTGTTTTATATTTGGATATTTTACTTGAAAAAAGACGTTAATGGTAATCTAACAACCAAGCTTTATGATAAACGTGATGACTTTAACTTTTCAATCGTCAACTTCCCTTACTTATGCAGCAATATCCCTTCATCACCTGCATACGGGGTATATATCTCTCAGTTGATTCGATACGCAAGAACATGCTCTACGTATGTAAAACTTCTAAAACGAGGTAATTTATTGACAAGTTGATGAAACAAGAATATCAGCTGTCTCATTTAAAGTCATCATTTCCTAAGTTCTATGGTCGATACAATGACCTTGTCAGCAAATACAATTTATCATTGAGTCAAATGCAGACTGACGTTTTTCATACTAATTGTTAGGCCATTATTTACACACTGAATTGTCGACGGATTTTTCCGTTATTTCCCGATCATGACAAGGAGCACACGGCGGGTATGACCGGTCGGCAGGGGATGCTCACTCCTCCATGGCACCTGATCCCACCTCTGATGTTTAGAGGTCCGTGTTTGCTCTGCTCCTATTTTGTATTGTTTAATGGACTTTTGAGCTTGAATACTGTTCGCTATCTCCATATATTTCATCCACAAGGTTGCTGTTTAACAGAGTTATGTCCCGTTCACCGCTTGAAAGTTGTAGCGCGGTATGTTTTAAAGAAGGAGGGTGATTCATGAAGTAAATAAAATAAGAGCAATATGCTTGAAAATTGTAATCATTGGAGTGTTTTTATGAAGACATATCATTTGTTTTGTACGGAAATCATAGTAGAAAATACATGACCATATATGGAAGTGCACATGACTTCCATATAAGGAAATGTTGGGACGAAAACTACCCGGATGAAAACGTGGTCTCCTCCATTTTCTTCAGCATCAGGAAAGGAGATAGAGTGGCCTATAAATCTTTTCACCTCATACTTAAAAAATGAGTGACGAAGTTGCTGCCATCGTTATTGATAATGGATCGGGGATGTGTAAAGCTGGATTTGCTGGCGATGATGCCCCAAGAGCCGTGTTTCCGTCCATCGTGGGACGACCCAGGCATCAGGTAATTTACATGCCGAAAAGGAAATCAACATGGCCATAGGTCTGCTAATTTTATAGTTATTCAATACTAATTCTCAATGGAAATTCGTAATATTTGACATATATAGGCCACAGGTGCTTGGGAACGGGACCTCCCCTCCCGTGTTCCGTACCCACAGAGTTTTTTGACTTTTTAAAAATAAAATATTTTTCTATGATACATTCACAAAGTATTACAACTAAAAAATCCAAAGTAAAACCTAAAACTAGCCTTTTATAAAAAAAAAAAAAAAATTCACACTCTCTGATACTTAAAGAGAACAGAGAGAGTGAATTTCGTTTTTTTTTAAAAAAAAAAAAGAAAGTCAAAGAACCCTTGGAGTACGGAACACGGGAGGAGGGGTCCCGTCCCCAAGCACCTGTGATATAGGCCTAAAGAAATTACTGAAATCATGCTTCATGTAGAGTCTGTATTTCAAAAAATGTTCTTATAAAAAATAACGTTAGAGCTCAATATAATTATTCAACTTTTATTCATCTTTGTGCAAGTTAAAGATAAAATAAACCAATGTGAAGATTGGTTGTTTGGTGAAATCTCCTGAAATGTTATTTTATTATGTAATAAAGATTGTTATGTGTATTTTTTTTTATACAGGGAGTGATGGTCGGTATGGGTCAAAAGGACAGTTACGTGGGAGACGAAGCACAGAGCAAAAGAGGCATCCTAACTCTGAGGTATCCCATTGAGCATGGCATCGTCACAAACTGGGACGACATGGAGAAAATCTGGCACCACACCTTCTACAATGAGCTGCGAGTGGCGCCGGAGGAGCACCCAGCCTTACTGACAGAGGCACCATTGAACCCAAAGGCCAATCGCGAGAAAATGACCCAGATCATGTTTGAGACCTTCAACTCTCCGGCCATGTATGTTGGTATCCAGGCTGTCCTGTCTCTATATGCTTCTGGTAGGACCACGGGTATTGTGATGGATTCTGGCGACGGTGTGTCCCATACTGTACCCATCTATGAAGGATACGCTTTGCCTCACGCTATCTTGCGTTTAGATCTAGCAGGAAGAGATCTGACTGGGTACCTCGTAAAGATTTTGACAGAGCGTGGATATTCCTTCACAACAACAGCTGAGCGGGAAATCGTTCGTGACATCAAGGAGAAACTTTGCTACGTCGCCCTGGACTTCGAACAAGAAATGGTTACAGCTGCTTCAACTTCAACATTGGAGAAAAGCTACGAGTTGCCTGATGGACAAGTCATCACAATTGGCAATGAGAGATTCCGTTGCCCGGAGTCTTTCTTCCAGCCTGCATTCCTGGGAATGGAAGCATCCGGTATCCACGAAACAGCCTACAACTCCATCATGAAGTGTGACGTTGACATCAGACGAGACCTTTACGCTAACACCGTTCTCTCTGGAGGGTCCACCATGTTTCCAGGAATGGCCGACCGCATGCAGAAGGAAATGACCGCATTAGCTCCCAGCACCATGAAGATTAAAATTATCGCTCCGCCAGAGAGGAAGTACTCTGTATGGATTGGTGGATCCATTCTTTCTTCTCTTTCCACATTTCAGCAGATGTGGATCAGTAAGCAAGAGTATGATGAAAGCGGCCCAAGTGTAGTCCACAGAAAATGCTTCTGAACCTCTGTACGTTTCTTGTGTCAGGTGTGCAGCTTGTTTTATTGTGATTTTACCCAATACCAACTTTGCACTGTGTATGTTTAATTATGAGATAACATGTTTGCAAACTAATTATTGTACTAGTATATATTATGTATCCAAACGACAATAAAAATTTCACATCGATAGTACTTTACATTCGTTTTGTGTTGTCCATAATCAAAAATAATACTGTACGTGATAGTCAAATATAAATTCCTTTATCTGAGATATACTCGATCTATATGCACTTAGAGTGATCTGTCTTTGATTTAACACTGAATAAATTGAAATATATGGTGTAATAAACAGTTTAAACAGGCCCGTAGGAAGCAATTTCACTTTGAGGGGGCACAACCATACATTTTCAGTTGGGGGGGGGGGGGGGAGGGGGGCACTATGAACTAACAAAATTCCTTGACAAGCAAAAAAAAAAAGGGGGGGGTCATCAGACATTATTATTGAGGGGGCACAAGCATATAGCAGCTATGTTTTCTATAGTATTCTATATATCGGCAAAATTATTGGGGGGGGGGGGGCGCACGCCCCCTCCCCCCCCGGTTCCTACGGCCGTGTTAATTAAAGAATTCTTAACACCATATTCGACTTATTTAAAGACGAAGACTTTATCAGCTGATTATTTGAATGTGTTTTCCAATTGTAGGCAACAGTGATTTCTGTTCATCGATACTTTTTTACAGAATGGCTTGTACCCATGCTGGAACTCGATATTTTCATCTTACCGTGTAAAAGGACACATGTTGGGTTTCGGTTATGTACTATCGTAGGCATGATAGAGGGTTTCAACTCCGAAGCGGAATTTAGTTGTCGTATGAGGCAACAATGATCATAAAAAAAAATCTTTGCTTATATAAAAACAATATGCGTACCGATTGTAAAAATGTTTTAAGGTCCACGTGCAAACAGTTCTGCTGAAACAGAAATTTGTGCTCATCTAACACTAAAAAGACGTGCAAAATACACGTAGGTACCGAATAAAACTTTCATTTACATGTGTTCAGTAACCTCTTTTTCATGATCAATGGACGTGGAATCCATATTCTTTAAAGGAAAATCAAGTTAATGTTGAAATACCCTCAAGTAAACCCCCTGAAACCCAAAATAAACCAGAATTTGGTCACGAAAGTTCAAACTCCTTATAGAAAATAATATTGTGAAAAGAAAAAAATGCCTACACATATAGTCATTCCTATATAATTCCTATATAATAACATAGTCAGTCCTATTTACTCTCCTGTATACATAAGCTCTTTAATAGTTGTTTCACATATGGTATTTATCCTCAAACTTGGAGTAACGGGTACATAAGTCCAATTTTTAAGTCTGGGGATCCAAACAACCCTGCAAATTATAGGGGTATTACAATTACCAGCACACTTGGCAAGTTATTCAACAGCATTCTGAACTCTAGATTAGATAAATTTCTTGAAGAACACAATCTAATTCACCAATCTCAAATGGGTTTTACCAAAGATGCAAGAACATCTGATCATCTATTTGTGCTAAGGTGTTTAATTGATAAATACTGTAGCTTAAAAGAAGGAAGACTATATGCTTGTTTTATTGACTTTCATAAAGCTTTTGACAGCGTTATCCACACAGGATTAAAGCTCAAATTACTTCACATGAATGTTGGATCTAAATTTTATATTATAAGTAATATATATAAGAATAGTCAGGCATGTGTGAAAATTGGAAGGTTCTTCTCGGATCCATTTCCAATAGCTATAGGTGTCCGTCAAGGGGATAACTTGAGCCCTTCTTTATTTAAAATATTTATAAATGATTTTCCATCATATTTAGATTCATGTATTGATGAAGTATCACTTCAGACAAAAACTGTTAACTGTTTAATGTATGCAGATGACATTGTTATTTTATCATCATCAGCTAAAGGTATACAAGCAAGACTTTCTAAACTTGAAAAGTATTGCTCTGATTGGTGTTTAAAGGTAAACATTCAAAAAACTAAAGTCATGATCTTTGATAAAGCTGGTCGTAATTTCACGCAAAAACTAATGTTTCAAAATAATAGACTGTGTATCTAGGTACAAATATCTTGGAGTTCACCTAACTGCATCTGGAAGTTTTCATGTAGCAAGATCAGAGCTTTATAAAAAGGCGTTAAAAGCATATTATAAATTGAGAAATGATTTTATTAATTTGAATCCTGGGATTAAAACGAGTATACATGTATTTGACTCTACTATTAAACCAATTCTTTAGTATAATGCAGAGGTGTGGGGTGCAAGTAATATCAATACTAAAAGATTCCTAAAATGCCAAAAGTTAGAAGTTGAAGACTGTTTCAGAAATCTACTTTGTGAAAGAATACACCTTAAATTCTGTAAATATATTCTTGGTGTTCATAAGAAAAGTACAAATTTTGCAGTATTGTCTGAATTGGGAAGGTTCCCCCTGCATTATGATACTGTCAAATTATTAATCAAAAGTTGGTATAGATTTGAAAATTTGTCCACAGAATTTCCTTTACTTAAAGATGCATATGAATGTAGTAAAAATCTTTTTGTACATGGAAAGAACTCATGGTTTGCATTTGTACAGAAATTAAGAAATATACTGAATATCAAAGATGAAGTAATTTGTTATGGGAAGCATAAATTTAAGTCAATCTGTCATAAAACCATATTAGATTATTATGTAAAAAATTGGTATACAAGTCAACAAAGTTATACTGATGGTAAATTAAGCACATATGTAAAACTCAAACAAAATTGGGGTTGTGAGAATCATTTATCAGTAGTTAAAAATTTTCATCACAGAAAATCTCTATGTAAATTAAGAATTTCTTGTCACAGATTGCAAATTGAAGTGGGAAGATTTACCAACATCCCTCGAGAAGATCGATTATGCAATAGATGTAACTTTAACAGTGTAGATGATGAAACTCATTTTCTAATAACATGTAAAAAATATGATCATCAAAGAAAAGAAATTTTTCAATCAATTAAAAGTAAATTTCCAAATTTCTCGGCATTAGATGATGAACAAAAACTTTTTTGGTTACTCAATACTGAAGACAAAGAAACTCTTAATTCTGTGGGCAAATTCATAAATGATATGTTGTAGTAGCCATACAGTTTTATATATAATATTCCCTTTAACTGAAATAGTACAATATTATTGTTGAAATGAGCAATGTCATTTACAAATTGTTATACTATCCATTGGCATATCTTTTCTTTATTATTGTAATAATTTCATACTTGTCTGTTATGGGCTCTAAATTAGAAAATAAATGTTCTGTTCTGTTCTATAGTGAATTTTGCACAAGTCTTTAACCATCATCCATAAAATATGGTTAGATGTCCAGTTTGTGAAAATTCACAGCACAGGGCTGGAAATATAGTATGCTTGATCACTATATATCCTTTTTATTCTACCGGTATAGTGGTCAGTAACATGACTAACCCTGTGGGTTATAAATGCTACGCTAGTTGGAAAAAATGCACAACTTTTTCATTCTTTTTACATTACATATATTTAGGGGTCAATACTATTGATACCCCCCCCCCCCCCCCCCCCCCCGGGAACCCTTAGTTGTAGGTCATACTCTTGACTGGCCGCTGAAGGGATGGGAGAGAATTGAATATATTTGAAATGACACAATACAGAGTGCCTGCAAATTAAAATGACTTAACTGCAGTCTCGTTTTTCTAAACTTTTCTTAAAATGCCTATCATAGTTCTGTTATGTAAAATGTTGGCTCCCCTCATTGGGTCTCAGTCACGGCTGCTTTAGCCTATACATGGTACAAATAATCTAAAAGAATATTTAATCCAATCACCATAAGGTTTTCATTTAAACAGCTGATTAAATATCATTCATTAATCAAGCCCTGTTGTTCTCAACAAATCTCTATTATAGATTCCAAAACACCAGCTTCAGTTGCAGTACTGATGATGATTTGATTTTTTTGTAATTCATCATTTGATGTTGGAAGTACATTAGTGGAGGGTCTGGATGAGGATTCTTGTACATTAATTTTACAAATTACCTCATCATTTTTTTTTAAAAAGTAGATCACTATTACACGTAACATGACTCTGTGTATGGTTTTCTCCAAATGAACTACACAACTATAAAACAGAAATTCAAATGTAAGCCATGCTTTATTGAGATAAACACTGGACAGATCAAAGTATGATGTACAAAACCAGCATAAATTGGAATAAATACTACAGAGTCTAAACGTAACCGATAAGGAATAGGAAAATACCCAGAAAAGTGTCCAAATAAAATAGATAGCGGAACAAAAACTACTAAACATAATAAACAAAGCATGTATACAGGCAGCACTTGGTGATCATAAAAATATATACACATAAAACTCGCCATCATAACAAACAGCGAGTGATAATTCTTACTATCAGTGTCAGTTTCTTGACAATTATATATAAATCAGATAATAATATGGCGCTATCCAAATTCTCAAGATGACTTCTGATTGGCTGACAGTGGTAAAAGATCGACAATCTGATTGGTTTTTACTCCTCCACCACGATTTCTTCAACTTTCAGTAAGAACTCAACGATTTCCTCGTCATTCTCCTCATCCTCCAGCGTGTCTGTGTCCACCCCTGTCATACAGATCCTCAATTATTTACCACACTTTAACATTTATTTTTTTTGTTTTTTTGTTTTTTTGTTTTTTTTTACATTTACTTCTCACATTTAATGCTTGCTTTTTTCTACCAAAATAATTTACATCAAGCTTCTATCATACCTGTATTGAAATATTTGAAATTTCACTGTTGGTCAAAAAAAATATTTTGAATTTCAATCTAACTATTTAAATTAATTTTTATTTTTTGGGGGGAGGACTAAGATCACTAGGCCTATCCCTAACCTCCTCTAAGCTCCAGTCTCCTGTATTTCATCCTCTCCCATTCCGCCACTGCTTGCTCTCGGAAATGTTTATATTCGTTCATCAATTCACTTCTCTTCTCAAGAATTTCCTGCATAATATTTTAACACATTAAAAGTAATAATGAAACGTTTTTTACAGTAATACTTAATAATGAATGGATGACTTGCATGGAAACAATCGAGAAAAACTTAATGGAAGAAGCAGGAACTTACAGTAGAAACATTGGACTGCCTTAGCCTGTCCATGACTTCAAACTGCTCGGTGTATTTCTTCATATTCTTTTTAATGGCCTTAAAAGAAAAACAATTGTGTGAGTATCAAAGTTAAAGCTTACTGGAATCTGTTCCATAGACAAGCTATCAGTTATAACTTACTCGGATCTGTTCGACAGACAGCAGGCTGGGAGGGCGTGGTCGCCAGAGTAACTGACAGAACCTCTCTAGCTGGATCTTCTGCAGAAGACGCCCTTGGAAAGACCAGATCCAGTAGGCATTGTCCACCTGAACAGAGAGAGAAATTTAGTTTAAAAAGAAATTAATTTATTAGACAGGACTTCCCAACACATCATTTTCATCACGAAATGTACATCCTTCCTCCTTCTCTGATATTAGGCTGATAAACTTACTTTGTGTCCCCACCAGCTGACGGCAGACACCACATATCTCCCAGTTGGATCCCACTCCACATCAGTCGCCATAAAATGCTCTGTCTGAGCCATCACAGTTACATCAGATGCATCCACAAACTCCAATACGCCATTCATACTACAAACAAAATGATGGGGCATTAGAATCTCAATCTTCTTTGGACCATTCTAGTTACTTAAGTTGCTTCAGTGGTAGGTTTTTCTCTTTACATTTTAAATTAAATCTTTCCAAACTTACTTGCGCAATCCTGCTAGAACAATAAATTGACCCGTTGGACTCCAGAACAAGTGGTTTGCTTGCCTTCTTTCCAGAGTTTCTGCAAAAAAATATATGTAAATAACAAACTAAGTCATTTTTACGTAAGTAAGATTAATACGTTTAGCCACATACATTTTATTTCTTGATTTTCACAATGTCCTATAAAGTGATAAAAAGCTGCATAGATTAAGGGTGATGACGAGAAGGTAGGATTTTAAAATTCATAGAAAGTTAAAAATTTCTTAATATTTTAGTGAATTAATATCAGCATCATTTACGATCAAAATAGGTTCAAAAAATGTACACCAATCTGTGCATTCATTTTTTGTTTGTATCAACCATCTTTAATGGGGCATGTAAATGGATTTAAACATAATCAGATCAGAGGTCTTCCACTTACTGATTATTTCTACTTTTCCTGGCCTTATCTGGTAGAAGGAAACAGAAATCCTAGGAGATTCACCATGTATAAATGCAAAACGACTTCCAATAGGTTCCCAAGCAAATGCAATCACATTTTCTATCAAAGAGATGATCAATTTGGGTTTTAATCACACTTTATATCAAATAAAGAGTTCAAAAATAAAAATCACCATGTTTTAACATACTTACCTTTGACTTCCACTTTATCTACTGGAATCTGTTTTTCTCGAATTCTAAACAGCTCAAAATTGTAATACAATCCCTGCAATTATAATTCACACCATGAGAATACAGCATTACTAAATAACGATTAGGAAATTTGTTGACTGTTCACAAAAATTCCTTTTTTGTACTATTGTTAAATTATCTGAACTTCTTCAAAGATACTCACACTGTACTTGAACTGGTCTTTCTCTTCAATCTTCTTGGCCTTGGAGTAACGGTCGACCTTGACACACAGGTAGTCTCCATTCTTCTGCCAATGCATTTTACAGTCGGCAACATTAAAAAGGTTTTTGATACAGAGTTCCTGGCGGCTTGGCATCTGGATCAGCGTTACTCTGGCTGGCACATTCTGCTGCTCGGGAACCCAGTAGGCGATTATATTGTCAGAGGGGGACCAGGTAAAGTCCCTGAAAAAGAGAGGAAATCATCAGGCTTGTCTTGGAAAACATTTAATTTTAGTGAAAATGTAAATATATCCATATTTACTACATATCATGGTTCTCATTATAAATATCTTTTTGATTATGGATGTTTTAGCTTACCTAAGTCCAGTAATTTTCAAACTCTTCTTTTCTAGCAATCCCATTGACTGAAAAAAACGTGGCATACAATTTATTTAAGATTCTAGCTGTATGGTCTGTTTCTGTCAGAATTATCTAGTAAAAATAAACTTACAGGTGTTTCATACACACTGAGAGTATCTGGGGTAATCCTCCCAAAATATGTACCATCATGATTCCACCTGAATGACATTCAACAAAATATTAATATAAAAGTCATCTAATTCATAAATTACATTTTTGATAATCTCTAGAGTAACATTTCTTCACTGTTTTTTTGTTGGTGAAATTAAGACCTCAAGAGTTTCTCAGTAATATATACAGTGTATTTGTAAATCTTTAGCAAATGAATGACTGATAAGCTGCATAGACAAGTACTGACTTGAGTATTGGCCAGGTGGACTGTGTCTCGCAATGAAATCCTCTCTTCTTCATTCCTGTCCTAATGTCCCAAATAATGATCTGTTGCTGGTCCTCCTGACTGGACAGAATTGGACTGAAGGTCACCATGTAGCGTTCACATGGGGAGAAGTCAATCAGCTGGACCCCAGGGTGGCTAAACCTCATGATCTGTTCAAACTTCTCCCCTCCCCACAAGGCTATACCCTTAGCATGAAATGTGGCCAGATAGGTACCTTGAGGTGACCAGCGAATATATGTCTCTGTCCATCTCTACAAATTAAGCAAATTTTAAAATGTTCAAAATTCTCCTAATTGATTAGTTTTAAATATTGTACAGGATGATCGATATCTTGTCGTTTTAGTTTCTTATACTGGATCGTTTGTTTCACAAAAACTATGCTAGTAATTTAGGTGTGTATAGATGAGTGAATTAGCATAAAACAAGCACATATTTTCTTTTTTTTCCAAGCTTAATGTCTTTGACAAGTTTAATGTACAAAGTTTAGCAACCAGCTTTAATCAAAATGAAAGACATACTGCTCTTTCTTCAACCAGAACAGGTTCCCTGGTAGTGTTTCTAAATATAGCTGTTCTCTCTCCTCCGTCATAAATAACACTAAACTGATCGAAACAATCGGGATCTTGCAGAAAGTAACGTAAGTTACCCTGTAAATAAATACAAGTGATAAAGTCAAGGTAAAAATGGAAATCACACACTTCCCTTAGACTTTTCATTATATTTTTTATTGAACAAGTCCAATCAAAATAAGCGAGGTTTGATTCAATCAACAATTATTCTGAAATACAGCTCAAACTTTTTTCTGAAATTCAATACAGACTTACAACGTCATGATAAGCTTTGGGCTTTGGTGCCTCCCACTGTTCAGGAATCTTCTCAAACCTGAATGAAGTTAATATATATATATATATATATATATATATATATATATATATATATATATATATATATATATATATATATATATATATATATATATATATATATATATATATATAAGCCAACTGGCACAGTAAAGCAGCAATAACAATGGTTATCAAAAATTATTTCTAGACTGTCATATTTTTTTTTACTTGTCAAAGTCGGAGAAGAGGTTGACTTGTAGTGTATGTTGCTTGTCCAGCTTGTATCCATTGGCCATTTTCACAGCTTCCATGGCATGATGGGGTGATGTGTACTCCAAAAATACAAATCTATAAAACAAATATTTTAAAATGAAAGACATGCAAATGGTGTAAATTATGCTTTCACTTTTCTCTTTCTTGAACTGAAGTAATAGTTTTTTTTTCTTGTTTAGTATTGGGGCTTGTATTAGATAAGTACTCAAAATATTATCTAAGTACTCAAAATAACAATTCCTTACACATTTAAAAAATTCTTTTCATCGGTTATTAACATATTGTTTATCTCTTACCATTTTCTGAAGTGGTCGTATGCAACGGTATGTTACATACTGTTAGTGATTAGCAAATCACTAATTTACAAAACATCCTACATTTGGATAAATCAATTTCAAAAGCAAACAAAACAAACAAAATACCCTTTCGTTTTTTCACCAGCAGATGGAAAGTATTCCCTGTTGATTTTGCCAAATTTTTCAAAGATCCTTCTGATGACATTTTTGAGTTTCTCCTGCCTGTCTGGTCCAACTTGAGGAACATTATCAACCACAATGATGTTGTCAATGCCATCAGATTCTTTAGGTTTGTTCTTCAGTAGGTCTCCAAGCAACTCTGAATATAAAAATACAATTGTAAATATCATTCAAACCTTAGTTATACATAACTATCCAAAAAATCCAAACAAATTAGAAAGACATTTTAGATCATTTCAGATTTTACCAATCATGGCCCATTTTACTTTACATACAAGTTACAATAAAGTTTTACAAATTTAAAGCAACTTTTTAAATAAAAATTAATTGAAGTTTGGTGTACTGATGGGTCCATTCTTTCTTCCTCTCTCTTATTATGTGATGGATAAAAAACACAGTAGAGTACCGAGTAAAACTACAAAAATAACAATGTCAGACAAAAAAGACAGCAAATAAAATTTGGAGGAGCAAGGATAAAAAAAAGCAGAGAGACCACAAAAGAAAGATGCAAGCATGAGAATACCCCCCCCCTTTTTTTGCCCTTGGTCCATACACTTTCTCATTACCCAACTTTGCCTCTTTCATTCCCTAACAAGTTTGACTTGCAATTTCACATTAATGTTTTCTCGTGTTTTTTTTTTTCCTTGTTACTTTCAGTCACTTGCTGAAATTGAGTGAACCTATCTGTACACAAAACTTTAGCTTAATTTGGTTCCAAAAAATTGGAAACAGGTTTCAAATTCCTGTTGTAATATCTTCCAAAAAAAAAAAAATGCGATTTGAGAATTAAGTAAAAGATAATGCAATGTGTTGAAGAACAATCATCGGTGTAACCTTCTTCTGCTCACAATTAAAAGAAATTAATTTTATTACATTTTTAAGAGTTCAGAATTACGGAAATGTACGATCTATTCTTTATAATTATTTTGTGCATGGATAATTTGGCGCTTTCCAGGTGTAAGTTTGGTCATTGTACCTTTGTCACAAAATTATCAGGACATACAATCATTCCTTCCCATTCCACCCTAAAAACTATGTAACACATTTGTATGTACATGTATATATAACTATATATATACATATGTTTTTATTGTTGTTGTTGTAAATAATAATGGTGTTGTTACAATGTAGGTACTGCATTGGGAAAGATGATTATATAAACGTGATCTTCTAAGGAATGCACCTAACACATTTGTTTGTTGATTTAGTTTTCGTCCAAAAAAGAAAAAAAACGAGGGAGAAAATAGCTACAGTGTTTGGACGGTACTTTTTTGTGGTGTATTTTAGCAGTTTAACATATTTTAACTTTTCTAAAAATGTCATTTGGGCTTTCATTTCAGGTATTCCCTATGCACTCTATCCATTCCACGAGACAGAAACACAATACCAAAAATATCGTGTTTAAAGTGGACATCCTTATTGGTTGCTTCACGTCAACAAAAGAGTAGGCCCTATATTCTATGGGTTAATTGGGTTTAGCTTAGAAAAAAACAAGCTCCTGTAAAATTTCTCCTTCTTATTGTATTAACATGTATCCATCAGTTTTCACGCTATTAATCACGTTCAAATGCCTTAATCTGTACAAATGATTTGATCTTTTTTCTCATTACACGTGTTTGCAGACAATACATGGTACAACGGCCCATATTGATAAACAATATGTAGCAAACTCATTTGAACCTTCGTCTGAAATGTCATCAACGTAGCCCTCTGGGTCACTAAAGTCTGGTTCCTCCATCTCGTCGCCGTTTACACTCCCTTGCGACTGGGATTCTGATTTTCTTTGCCTTCTCTGCTCGTGTTCCGAGCCCCTGTCAGCCGCCATCTTGAAATCCTCGTGCACTTTGCCGGTATTAACTAGGCATGCGCGAAAATAATATTACCTCGTACTACAAATTTTCAGGGTTTGTTATCTTTTTTTTGGGGGGGGGGGGGCGGGGGGCGGGGGGTATATATTAACAAAATCCACGTATCTTTAACATGAAACCTTCTACATCCCTCCCTGTAAATACACACATACAAGTGTATGAACATTCTTTCAGAATCAAGTGCATCGCTGTGAAGAAAAGGACAGTGGCCGAAGATATCTTGCCAAGTTTATTAACACTCCTTACCCAGTGGCTAAGGTTTTCCTCTTCCGTTATTATAGGCCTGGCTATAATCACGATAATTATATGTATATGATCTTGACATGTACCTGAACTATGTTGAATCAATATAAAATATATTTATTGCAATGTGACAAAAGACTGAAATGCAGTTCGAAGATATCGACATAAAGACCCTCTACTGATATCCAAGATACAATTTTGGACTTTGTAAAAAGTATATGGTAAAAATATTAAGGATAGATGATAACCCAACCCCCAAATTCATGATAATAACCACTAAAGTGTTGTTTATATATTTAAAGTGAATAAGCTTAACTGCATGCATTTTAAATTTTTATTCAAGGTTTCACAATTATGTCCTATACAGTGATAAAAAGTTGTATAGATTTATAAGGATGATAGAAAGGTAGAACTTTGAACATCATATGGAAAGTTTATAATTTCTTAATATTTTATAAATTTGATATTTGCATCAATTACAACCAAAATAGGTCGAAAAATATATATCAATCTAGGCATTCATTTTTGTTTGTTTGTATCATCTATCCTGAAGTTATTTTCAATGTTTGGTACCTACCATTCTGCCTAGAGGTTCTTGATGTTTTGAACATGTTTTTTTTTAATTAAATGAAATTCATACTATAATTATTGTTAAGGTATTGATTTTTTAATTTAAAAAGAAAATGTTTAAAACACCAAGTACTCGTGATTCTCACCCAGGAAAAATGAGTGTATTAATGAACACAAATCACCGTTGCTTACTTGAATGAGAAAACACTTACAAGTAAAGTACTGAATTACTTTATATTTTGGTCAAATATATTGATATTGATTGATATATTGATATGAATACTTGAATTGATTTCAAACTCTATTATAGATTTTTAATCAAAGGGCAGATCACTCTAACTGGATACAGGCAAGTAGTATCGTTAATAAATAGAAAGGGGAGGGGGAGGCAGAAAAAATAAATTGACAAGATACCTGAAACAAGGACATTTAAGACAGTATTACAATTTTAAGTGATATGTGTTCATTCTTACTTTATTATCTGGGACCATTTCTTGGGGGGGGGGGGGGGGACGGTATACCCTATGTTGAAAATAAAATGGGTCAACTCAGTTTTCACCTGCATACGATGTTGTATTCTTAAAGTCCAAAAAACACTTAACTGAGCACAGAGGTTCTTTAAAAGAAATTACACACCATGATATTCCACATATCTCAATGCGCAGTGATATTTGAGGTATGAAAGGGTGTGTTATTTATGCAATTATAATCAAATTCATTGGAGATGGATTTCACTATCTACTGGAATGCAAAATAATATTCGGAAATTTTATCGGGGGGGGGGGGTTATTATAATATTTTAATACTAATCTAGCTTGCATTTTTAAGAAAACAATGTATATTTTAAACCAAAATTTATTGCGTTGCCTTCTCCCGAATCGTAATAATCCAATCGGCATGCTCTTCCAGCTTGTAATTTGTTAACTTAGGTGCTTCAACCTAATTAAAGTTTGATTACCGGTAGGTACGGAGCGTTGGTGGGTGCGGGGGGAGGTCCCGGCATCATGCACCTGTGTCGGTGAAAGGGGCGCCTGTACGTACCGTTTTGTTATGAAGAAAAATAAGGAGGGATGTCTCTTTTTGTTAATAATATTGACATCCGTTTGGAATGCTAAAGAAAACTGTATGATGATTTTTTTTTAATTTCTCCAAAAGAGAAACTCGTCAGTTTGTACATCAGAGTCTTTATTCAACACTTTGCCTTTTGTCAAACGGCAACATGTTGACTCAGGACTCCTGACGTGAAGGTGCAGTTTGTAGGACCAGCTTTGTTCTTTTCGCTGCAAACTGGAAGAAAAAACTACTAAATTTCATAACCAGCAAGCTTCTGCAAATGTTGAATGTCATTTCTTGAGTACTTGTTTAAGCGTATTAAACTTTTTGAACATAATTATCATAGTGCAACGTCCCTACCCTTGCACTAATATAGAGACGTATTCTAAACTCCATCCGCCTACAGGGGATTTGCACTGGACTAGGACTTCTCCATTTGCATTTTTCAGTTTATTTGCCCCCTTCCCCTAATGTTTTGCTTTCTTTCTTACTTATTTAATTATACCATCAGTTTCTAATGTGGACACTGTTAATAATTATTCGCTCATTATCTGTCCCTTCATAACACTTTATTCTTATCATCTCTTCTCGTCGATCATTAATATTTATAGGTAACTGTCCTCTACCAAATTTAGAATTTGTTCAATTTAAATCTATACATTTTATTTGACAAATGAAATATTTAAGAAAGGACTTAACAGAGAATTCATTTTTGCAAGTCAGTATATGATGGTTCTTGTCACATAGGCACTAGAGACATAGAAAAGTGTGGTTTAATTATTTTTAAAACTTGTTATTGGAACTCCACTCTATGCGACAGCAGAAAACATATAATTTTTGCATTCCGATTGACAATGCATGTACAATAAGGTTTCGAAGTTATATTTAAGAGATGAATTTAATTTTTGAGAATTCATGAGTACATGAACTGCGACGCTTCACGTCGGCATATTTCATGAAGCGCGTTAGCGCTTCATGATAAATATGCAGGCGTGAAGCGTTGTAGTCAATGTACCTCTTGAATTCTCATGTCTTATATTTACATTATTTTTCTGCTGACTTGCCACATATTTTTGTCATTCATAGTTCATTTTTGAAAAAAAAAAGGTTTGTATTATTTTTTTTTTACTTCAGTCACGTCACAATGGAAATATTCTTACTCATCCCACGATAGTTCATAATATTCTTACTCATCCCACGATAGTTCATAAGAACATGAACTTTTTCTAATTTGCAAATAATCTTAAGGAAAAATATTTGGAAATGTAAAAATATTCTATCCGAGGACTCCACAAGAGCTTTTAAAAAAACGTGTTCTTCTTAAAGCTTTAGTACATACTAAAAGGTAGGTGATGTTAGAGGAACTCCATTTCCAAGTATTTATCAAATTCTACCTCAACTAGTCTTGCACGGATGTATCATATTGGGATGTTAATTACCATTAATATTTTCTAAATGAGAGATAAATTTTAAATGTGTTGGTAGTTCGTCCATTCTGATCGAAGCACCATTTGACCTCAAGATCAATAAGATCTTTCGTAAGTATAAGAGAGGCATCATCATATTGCATTACAAATGGTCAAATAGAACTACTTTATCTAATTTCTGACATTGGTTTGCAACCTTTTGACCTCAAAATCGGCGTCTTCTGTAAATCATAGGGAGTGATGATAAATTTCATCCCAATTCTTTAAAGAGAACTTGTTATTATCTGGAAACCATTTTAAAGCATGCATATGTGAATTTCTGACATTGACCTTTGGTCTCAAAACCTATAATAAGGGACTTCTTTCGTCATGGAGTCATGATATTATAAAATTCTAATGTAAAGACTGAATGACTTATGAAAATATCATCGGCGGAAACTAAAATGGCAACACCCTGTTTTAGACAAGTACACGCCAAGTTTTAGAATAAGATCGTAGTATACATATAATGGGATGATTTTATTTTTTTTTTTTTACAGAAAATGTTGATTGATGTTAACCGATATATCAAGATCTTCCAACAATTTGGCAATGGTTATCCACAATGTTGTAAACTTATTCTAAAAACACAGCGATAAAATACCGTATACTATACAAGTTTTTTCCTTCATTTGTATTATACTTATGCAAGTTCAATTGTAAATTAAAGAATTCCACTTTTCGAATCAAGATTAAAGCGTCATGAAAATGTATGGTCTTCTTTAGCAACGATTCTACCTTAAAGTAGCAGTTTTGAAATGTAAATTACAACTGAAAGTTTGGTCAAATTATTAGATCTAAAACTAAATTTAAATGGAGAAAGCAAAGTTCTCAACTGCACAGCATCATTAATCACGCACGTTTTAAAACTGATGTTTCCTTAGAATACTTTATCGAAAGTAACAATTTATCATTCTTTTACAACATGAGTTGTATATAGTGTGTTCAAGACGAAGACTAAATACAAGCGTCTCGCGACACTTTGCATCCCAGGCACTGTAGAATCCAACATCGTAAACTGCAAAACTGCACTCGAAATATTACGGTACATATTTACGGACAAATCAATAATATGAAGTTGGTCTGGGCAATTAAAATTAAATTAACGATTTTTATTTTTTTTTTTTTTGGGGGGGGGGGGATGTTCAAACTTGAACAGAACTGTTAACCTCGAATTTCAACAAAAGCACCAAGAGCTCAAATGTCAAGACGGATAAGTGAACTGTTCATTGATTCCCTGTCTGAGATACAGCAAGAGAACCTTAAAATCTGTTCAAATGGCTTAGTCTACCAAGAAAACGTGCTTAGATACTGATCAGTTGGCGCATTTAGCAAAATATTTCGCAATTCTGTCCCACCTAGTTTAACTGCGTCCTTGAAGTTATATTTATGTAATTTTGTTGCAAAACGAATTTTAAGATGAACGAAATACTATCTTGTTAGCGAACATTTTTCCTTTTCAAAATTAATGCTTACTGTTTTATGCCATTTTTATATTCACATAAACCCTAATAAATTGATTTCCCATAAACACTTCTTTCAAGATTAGAATTATGGGTTAACATCTGGTCAGAAATAGAACCTCATTTCCCTTCTTCCTCTGTACAACACTCCCTAATCCCTATCAATAAATTCAAGCTTTGTAGCTCCGTTTTCATCTTTTTGTGTCATTATTTTTAATGCAACTTGGTGCTTTTGTAGATATTCATGATCATCATAAACTTCAGTCACTCTTTCTTATCAATAGTCAGGCAGTTTATCTACACTATCAGTTTCACAATATTCAGACATATCAAGATGAAGTATATCCGCATATCTTATATTACGATGCTTAGAAATTTAGAAAATAAATAAATGAATATTTTCCTCTTGTGTCTATCTAGAGCATTTTACCAGGAAAAGAAAAACACAAAAGTAAAATTGGATTAATGGGGGATCTACAATTGGGTTCTTACTCTGATGCAATTTTATGTAATCCAATGGCAAATTATGTGCTCTCTCAATATCTTTTTTAAAATGTCAGTGCAATTTTTCTAATATTACATCATTAACATTTGTTCTTCTGACTGCATCATACTAAATCCTGCAATGTCTGAATACTGTTGGTTAAGATGACCTAGAACAAAGTCCTGTTGAATTCAGTTAGCTATTTGCATGAACACATCCATCACCAAAAAATTCTCAAAATGCATCATGATACCATGCAGTATGTCATGCCCTTGTCCAACTCTTTACACTTTCCCCATGCACAGGATAAGGAAAATGTATTGTTAGCTCTCTTTCAATCCCTTGTTTAACTTTTCCCTTGAAATGCTTTTAAAAAATTTAATGGCAAGAACTCCCCTAAAAAAAGCTAAAAATAATTTTAAGACAAAAATGCTTCTACCCGAAAGGAAACATTGTTACCCATTTAAATTTTTAAATTTAAATTTAACATAGACTCTGGATATATGTTTTAAAAACTATTTTTGGTTGAATCAATGCAGCCCCAATTATATATGGTAGCGCACACAGGGGAACTGCTTTGGAAATAATTTGTAGCCAATGAGAGCAGATGAAGCGATATGAAAGAGAGCCAACACTTGAAAAGAGCAGCAATAAATACTGGACAGCAATGACAAAAGGATGGATCAGGAGAAACTCTATTATTATGCATGCTTCAATATTTATAGGAAGTACACTGGACTATAAATAGTATTGTTACTACTGAATGATAATGCCAGAAATCCATGCAATAGCATTAAAGACTGCAGTGAAATACTAGAAACACTTACAAACAGTTTATTGCCTCAAAGAAAGAAAAAAAAAACAAACTCATTCTCACACCTAGGTTAATCTTGACACATAAACTGTTCAAAGTGCAAAGAGGTTATTTTACATATAAGACAAAAATGGACTGTGCACAAAAGAAGCAATTATTCTAAATCATTAATACAATACAACACTGTGTAGATACAGAATATGTTAAGCAAGTAGTGGAAAATCGTCATCCCAGAAGAATCCACTGTGGCTCTGGTCGTGGCCAGACGGTCATCTGCGTCCACTGCCCATTCCTTTGGACAGTTTTTAGGCAAACACGATTTATATATAAAATGGAGAAAGTTCTCTACAAAGTAATTAGCATTATTCACCTCCTAATTCCCAATATACATGAAACATAATGAACAATCTAAATGCTACAGAAAAAAAATCTTGATAAATACAAGAAAAGGGGGATCACATTAGCAATGAAGTGTGTTTCTTTATGTATAGATTACATGTGCAATATCCAAGTGCAAATAATATATATATATATAATAAATATGAACAGTCCTGTCTGTATCCATGCCAACATTGTTTCAGGATTCCGTCTGTCCATAGGAAGTCAACACACTGTTGTCTATAGGCAAGAGATGTTAAAAAATACAATGCATGCCAGAAAATGGGAATCAAACGAGGGAGGTAAGCACACATACACATTCTGTCAATAAATACATGCTTAGATTATTCATCATAAATAATCATCATGCTCAAATTTGAAGAGTTTTTTTTCCCATCATGCCCCAGACATGCCATGGGGAAGCACTAGCATTTAGGTCATATAAGTATGACCAGTACACAGCATAAGATACATATCAAGCTATCAATCTACAAATATTAGAAGATTAATCATCAATCCAACATAATGTACAAGATACACAAGTGACAATGATTAAATATGAAATAAATACAATCGGTAACTTTTCAACTAGCCTACAGGGGGAGAGAGTTAAAACATAGCACCTCAAGATGCATACATTCCAAGACAAAAAAAGGCTGTTTATTCATTATTATTCATAAAGATTTATTGCACCTTGGAGTTGCTGTTATTTTAAAAAAATGATCAACAGTCCACATAATAACAATTTTTTTCCACAGTTTTGACAAATGTTGATTTTCATGTGTTTTGATTATCAATTTTGTACATGACAGTGTAAATCTTCCTTCACGTACAAAAGAATGCGTAGAATCAAGAAATTACTACAACATATGTAAACAAATTTGTAACAAAATATGTTATTTTTTAACAGAAGAAAAAAAAATCTTGACTTCATTATGCCCGGGCTGAGAAACAAAGATACCGTATCTCAGAAAATGATGCACGACATCAAATGATTTCATAAAACACGAAACATCTGAGATTCAATTTTCAATGGGAGGTATTTTGACAGATCAGTTCAAATTCATTAAAAATTCTATAAGTTGATTACTTAAAATTATAATTCTTGCGTGGAAAACAAATTCAGCTAATTTTGTGTCAAAAAAATACAGTAAATATCATTTGGCATAATTCAAATCTGTTATGAGAAAAAAAATTTACAGATCTGCTTCTACTACTGAAATAGACTAAAGACAGGGGAGATGGGCCCAGAAGAATTAAAAAGAACAAAACATGGCAGAATTCAATATCTCGGTCTCACAAAGAGATTCTTACGACAATAAAATATTTTTGTTTTAAAAAATCAAATTTTTCTACCTGCAACAGACATAAGGGCAAGATCATTTTGGCAAGTATTCTGTAACATTGCAATAAAACAATCTGAACAGTATATTATGAAAAGTAACACATGAATAAATGTTAAGAGACTAGCTTGCAGTGGTAAATCACATCCATTACTTGACAACATTCACCCATAGATCATTTTGATCCTAAGTCACACACACACACTTGTACGCTTCATTCATGCTTCCTTAGCACCAATCAACCATGCTCTATGAAGAAGCATACTGGAAGTACATTAAATAGTGTAAACTGAATTTGAAAAATGAAAAAACAATGAGTCGCATCATCTCCTTTTGTTGAACAGCTACCACTCCCAAATACAACAGAAAAAAAAATCCCTCCTGTTCACAAAAAAATCCCTCCTCTTCACAAAACATCAGACCCTCATATCAAATGCTATGCTTCATGTGTTGAAAAAATGTCAACAGTATGCACTGTCCAATATCATCATAATATATTAATAAAAGATAAAGATACATAACATTGCACGAACAATTAGTAAAAGAAGCACCTTGCTGCACCAATGGGAAACAGCGAATCTTGTGGCGTCACAGACCTTCAATTATTTATGAATATATTACTGCCTTTAGCGCCTGTTAAATTTTTTCAATAAAATCCAAATTTCCAAAAAGAGAGTGATAGAGCCAAATCCAATGAAGTTTTACAATTTTTCCGATTTCAAAATTTTCAGCTAAAACAATTGTCAAGATCTGATGAAAAAAAAAAGTTGAATGCTGCTTAATATTTTCAAACAAAAAAAAATACAGAGAGGGTTAATGTTGACTTTTAAAAAAAAGTTATTACTTAAAACTCTATTTTCAATAATATACAATTAATACTGAAAACTTGAATCACAGTGCTGTGACAGACAGTTCAATGTTCTTACAGTGACACAACGACTTGACATCCATGTGTATATAACCTTTTGCCGTGAGGTAAAAAGTGAATCTGACTAGATGTTTGTTCAATATAAAGCTGACCAGATTGAGTATTTTAACAGACTACCTTTCCTAAGATTCTGTGGCATGGCATTCATGAACATATTCTATGAGAGAAAAAAAAAACTTCCAAGCAACTGATGGTATTTGAAAAAATATGAAGTTATAAAACAGAAAATTTTTCTTTCATTTTGATTATTGGACCAAAGAAAATAATCATAATGTGCAGGGATGACTTGAAATAAATAGATGATTGAATGAGATTTATGAAATTTTAAAATTTTTGCATCTTGCCATTGATTGGAAGCTTTTACATGAAACAAGCTGGAATATTGACGTTATGGCAGTATCATGACAGGACCAGTGCTAAGAATCAGTTATCACATCAGAAGAGCACCAATCGCAGCACTGATGATATAATTGCACAATCCTCTCTCCCGTCTCTTTTTCCTGTAATCCATTTTTATTGGATAAGAATGTGTCCAGCACAGCCAGAGAATCTAGGAAGGTGAAGAATAATTGGTCACATGATATTCATATAGCGCCCTGTCACTTGCTGACTGAGTCAATGTATTTATATCTCAGTAGGGTGTAAACCGCTGGTAAGCACCTCTGTACAATGTTGCCTACAAAGATAAAATGACAGTGTCAAACTCATTTATATGACGTCAAAACAATAATGGGCATAACAACACTTCATGTTATAATCACATCAACAGTGCATGTAGTTATGCAGTGTGTTGTCACTAATCGAGTTTGTCTCCCTTTGGGAATAAGTTGTGCTAATGGTAAAATCTTGTAATGCTAGATGAGTTTTCAAATCTTCTCCTCTTTGATGATGAATTATAGCAAATGTTTGAACACACCATAAAATCTGATTTCTAATCAACTTGATCCAAACACATTAACACACTGAACATGAAATCTGCCTCTGTACAACAGCACACTAAAATAGAGGAAAGCTAAAGGAAAGTTGTATACTGACCCCATATCCTGCTACAGGTCCGATACTGTGACCAATTAATGGGTCAGTAGCTGCTGTTGTGTACTCTCGTCCTGCTAGCCTGCAAGGTCAATTATATATTTCATTTATTCTAAAAATGCACAGCTTATAAATATGTATTCATTCTGCATATTTTATTTTCCTTGATTACAAAAATAAAACCATATAAAATTTCAGTCTATAAGTTCTTGTTTTTTCAGTGATATACAGAAATACATTTGTTTACATAAATAAAATTTCAAAAATAAATCTAAAATTAAATATAGCTATTAAATTGTTTTATTTAGTACTAAGCAAAATTTTTGGAAACACTTACTGTAACTGTCCTGCGGCAGCTGCTGCCACATAAGTACCTGGGGATGCCACAGCTGCTGGGATTGCGTAACGTGCACCTGGAGCATAAGCCGCTCCTGGATAGGGCTGGCTTGTCACCAACTGCAGAAATTAGGAATATACAGTTAGACAACATTTACAGGCAAAAGCTTTTAAATTTTTTTCTGACTTTCTGAGAAATGCATCTTTATCATGAATCATTCAAAAGAAGAAGGGGGAGGGGAACCAAACATACAGAAAAATCATTATTTGTAAAAATGAGAGATTAATAAGTTAGCAAATAATTACTATGATGAAACTGAAACTGATACAGATTTACACAGATAATGAAAATATGGCAGATCAAGTATTAATAAAGCCAAGTCTGAAGCAATCATAGAGAGACGGACATGGGAGTGCTCCAGTATTGATCTTTTAAGACGCCAGACACAATCTGCAAACAACATGCAGTCATGATTTGTGATCAAGCTGAGACCATAGATCATAACTCTGCTCAGGTTCTGTCAGATAACGGAGAGAAAAAGCAATTTCATAAACCAGTAGGTCAAGACTTTGCTATCAGAGATGAGTAGGAAGATGATTTCAAGATGCACTGGTGTTTTTGTCAGATTACAATCTCCCTTTCTTGGATGCTCAACTCTTGGAGCCTTGTGATAATAAACAAATGTTAATGGTTGCCATAGTTACCTGGTATCTATCAGCTGCAGCATATGTGGCAAGAAAAGGATCCTGATACACACCACTGTTAAAAGTCAAGGAAATTAATTCAATTTCAAACCATTCTGTCATTAAAATCTAATGTCTTTTTTCTTTTAAAAGAACAATACAAGTGGAAACTGTGATTCAGAAGGCATAATAAAAATGTCATGCTGCTCAATTCACAATACAAATGTACCACAAGTTTACTTCTTCTGATAAGTATCACTAATGCCATTAAAATAAAACAAGACTGGTCTTGAAAAACATGACACATTTTCAGACCATTTTAGATATGGTTACAGAATGGTAAAATTTCTAGAAGATAATACTAAATAAAAGTCAACCCCTGACATGCACAAGATGGGTATGACAACAAATACTGAGCAATTCTTAACACATGAATGAAACAGAGACAGAATATATATACATACGCTAAAGGCAACGCAGTTGCTGCAGTTGCCAGTGGTGCTGTATGTCGGAAAGCTGCGGTGGCTGCTAGTGCGGCGGCATTATAAGCACCGCGAGCAGCCACTGCTGCGGCCCTGCCCCGTGTAAGTGCCACACCTCTTAGAGCTGCCGCTGAAAAAACGCATTCAGGTCGTATAGGGATTACATCCATTAAATGTGAAAAAATCATACATGCAAACATACATGTGCAAAAAAAAAAATATATGTGTTGGAAAGAGAAAATATGTTACACTTCTTTTTTTTTGTTGAATGCAGAGTGATGTAAAAACACCTAGGCAAGAAACCATCTAATAGTAAGACCAGGCAAGTCCACATCAGTACAAACATAATCAAAAATGCTGCACTTTGCAACATATTGTTGACATTCATAGATGCCACAGAGAGGAGAACTCAACTGATTTACTACTGACATCACTGGTTATGTAGATACAGCAGGAAAAAAAAATTTGCAACTCCGACTACACAAGGTATTTTGAGAAACAAAAATGTCACTCAAAGAAAACAAATTTACTGTTTTTGAAAGCAAACATTGATGTATCATTTTATAAAACATTTTTTTTTTTTAAATCGGACACCACTAATGTGAAAGGGTAGAAGGAATTTCTATGCAACAAAATCTTTTTTTATTAGTATATTATGGCATCTCATACTTCATTTTGGTTGACCATGATGCTCAAAATAGAATCTCTTTGTGTTATGCCAAATATTCTGCAATTTCAAATGCTCTCTACAGCAGTTTAGTCATACCAGAACTATGCACCCTCATTTCATAATGGGCTAGAGGCAAAAGGTCAAACTTTTTATTTAGAATGTCCAATATGCTTCTCAAATATTCCAGTATACAAAATTACAGCCATTACGAACTCTGATATCAAATACATTATTTACCATGCCAGACATATTACATGGGAAATAGCCTATTTGATGATAACAGAAATTGGATTCCTGATTTTGTATAGAGGATAATAATGTGGCTTCATACTGAGGCTGTAATCTGCTGGAAAAATGGTAGCTGATCCTAATCGGAGATTACAGCCCAGTATGGAGGCATCTGTCATCTACGTCAAGCCAACATGCATCATCACACATGTAAATTATGTGGTTCTGGATAGCTTAACTGCTATCAACAAAAAAATTCTTAGAAAAGTTTCAAATTTTTTAACACCCTAAAATAAGGCTGACAGAAAATAGCAAATTTCATTTCAAAGAATGAAAAAAAATTCTGGAAAAAAAGTGTTTATCATTATGATAAAAAACCAAATTGCGAACCACAACATTAGCTGTGTATAAATGCATGCTACTTTTTACTATTAAAATAAAAAATATCAAAAACCCTGCAAGGTGATATTTTTACATGCATATGCAGCATTTTATAGCTCTGACATTCATATACACATTAAGTACATTA